AAAAGTAATAAAGCCTAAGGTTCTGTTTGTTGTAAAGTTTGGTCTTCCGCTTACATTTTCTTTTTTCCCCTGAGAAGTTTTGAGCTGCAAAGTTTTGGGGAAGAATTGGAAAATCAGAATGTAGCAGATGATTTCCTCGATGATGGGCTCTCATCTGCTTCCTTCACATATCCCGCCCATCCCACGCTGTGCTGTAAAAGAAGCTTGCATTTACAAATAAAAACCAGGGAGCTCATCACAACCCACGGATGCCTGGAGTAGAAGTCCCAAAACTTCGATGTGGACGGGCCTGGATTTCTAGTGACAACTACCAGCTGTGTGACACTGGCTAGTTCTGAAATGTACAGTGAGAAGTTCATTAGGTTCAACTGCTGTAACACCAGAAAATATACATGAAGCTTATTAGCACAGTGCCTAGGTGTAAAAGACACTCAAAAAGTGTTAATAAATGTTATTATTATTAATTATTATTATTATTTAGGATAGTGTCTTGGAAAAGGGGGAAGAAGACCATGTAAAGGGGCACATGGGGAGAAATGGGGCCCAGACTGGGCCCAGGCATAGCTTGGAAGAGGAGGACCTCCTATTACCGCCAGAGCTGGCCCCACCGGGTAGGCTGAATGCTGGAGAAGAGGCACACACGCAGCCCTCTGGCAGCTCAAAGCCTCCTTTCCTCATGAAAGTTGCTGGAAAATTGTTCCAATAAATATATACATCTGTGATGAAGAGGCAAGTTAATGATGATCCCTACAGTTGTACAATGCCCAACCTGTAACACTGTACAGGGCAGCCCTGAACTATCCCCACAAGATGGCTTTATCCTGGTTTCAGGCTCTTTAGTTGGCCCCATCTATTTTACGGTTCCTGCCGGGCCCCTTTAAAGTCTTTCTAGCTCAAGGCCGGGTACACATGTAAATACATTATAAAGAAGGGGACGCCGGGGTGGCTCAGCTGTTGAGCTTCTGCCTTCTGCCCAGGGCCTGATCCTGGAGTCCCGGGATCGAGTCCAATATCGGGCTCCCGGTGCATGGAGCCTGCTTCTCCCTCTGCCTGTGTCTCTGCCTCTCTCTCTCTCTGTGTGTGTGTAACTCTCATAAATAAATTTAAAAAAAATTTTTTAAAAATTAAAAAAAAAAACACAACCTAAAGAAGTTTGAAGTGCAGGCCGTACCAAAAGGCAAAGAATCCGACCTGAAGGAAAGACCGGTCAGTCCCCAGCTTCTCTCCCACTTTCCCTCCCACGGCAGCGCTGTCTGTCCCTCTAGACGCGACTGCATCAGATGAGCGTGGTCCCAGATGGGGCTGCGCCGGCCTCCTAACCATCAATCAGGACTAGATTAGCTCCTCTTGATGCCACGGGCTAGCTAAGGTCTGGAACTCATTACCCTGCAGGTTGCTCCGGTTAGGGAAGGCCAGGGCGGCCGGCGCAGGGCGTGACCCTGGAGACCTGGGATCGAGTCCCGCGTCGGGCTCCCTGCACGGAGCCTGCTTCTCTCTCTGCCTGTGTCTCTGCCTCTCTCTCTGTCTCTCTCTTCCTCATGAATAAATAAATAAAATTAAAAGAAAGAAAGGCCGGCCTGGGCTTGCTGGGCAAGCAGGCGGCCTGCGCCCCGCCCCCCGCCTCCAAGCTGCAGTCCCGAGTCGGGGCGGAGGCGGCGACCGGGTCATGCAGAGCCCCCGCAGGCTGGGCCTGACTTGGAGCCTCCCTCCCGCCTCTGGCTGCGCCACCTTGGCCGTGGGGCCGGGACGCGGACAGGAGCGCGGCTGGTGGCTGGCTGGGGCTGCAGCAAGCCGGGGGCCAGGTGGCGGCCCGAGGCCCTTCGGGAGGGGGGGGGTCGTGGGCTATGGGAGCCGCGGCCAGTACCCGACCCGGAGGGCCTCCAGGCCGCAGAGGGGCGCGGCCCGGGCACCGGTGGGGGGGGGGGCCGCCAAGCCAGGCGGGGCTCGGCCTGCCCGCAGGTCAGTGAGGCGACGGCTGCAGCAGCTGCTGGCGGGGCAGGCCGGGGAGCCACGGCCGCGGTCCCCAGTGAGGCCTAGCGCAGGCCCAAGGCTGCGCCTGTCGCCTGTCACCTGTCGGGGCGCCGGGTCGTGCGCTCAGTGGCTGTGGGACTGGGCTTCAGTCACCTCCCAACCGGCCCCTGAGCCACATCAGGACGAGGTGCCCCCCAGGAGCCCCTTTTTTTGACATACAAATACAGGCTGTATTGGAGGATGGGGGGGCACAAGGGCCATCAGGGGTCACGTCAGTCCTCTCTGCTCTGCTGTTCCCACCACACCTCCTTGGGCTCCAGGTCGTCATCGTAGTCGTCCTCCCCTCCCCCTCCTCCCCTCCCCCTCCTCCCCTCCCCCTCCTTCCCTTCCCCTCCCCTCCCCCTCCTTCGGCGCTGCCTGACACCTTGAGCATCTGGGAGGCCGTGAAACCGACCTGCTGGTTGCATGTGGCCTGCTCGCTGCGGCGGACCCGCGGCATCTCCTGGACGCTGGCCCCGTTGCCGAGCCGGACCTCGAGGTCCTTCCACGTCTGCCAGACAGCGCCAGCGGTCGCGGGGTCGCAGATCTGGGAGCAGAAGCCGTAGATGGCACGCGCGGTCAGGGCCGCCAGGCCTGCACTCCATGTCCGCGAAGTGCAAGCACATCTCCGGGGCGTGCTCGCAGCCAGCTGCCGGCCCCCCTCCCCGCTCCCCTGCCGGCTGCAAGCGGACTCTGGCTCCGCTCACCCGAGAGCTCGCAGGCGCTGAACCCAAGCTGCAGCCTCTGGGAGCCTTTGCCTCCACGCTTCCCCGAGGGTCACGGCCCTCCCTGGGGACTGTCACCCCCTCTGGCTGCCAGGTTTCACATCCAGCGAGTGACGCAGGAGGAGACTAATTCTCCTGATTGCTTCCTCTTTGCATTTCCCCTGCCTCCGGCCTCCCTCACCCCACTGCCTCCACCCCCACCCTCACCCCCCCCACCTTCCTCGGAGCTGAACCCAGAACCCGGACCCTCCCCTACATCCTTGAGCATCACTTCGCGCATCATGTACCCCCTGCCGTTTACACGCGCTCTGTCCACTTTGAAATGGTGGGTCTGAACTCCTCTTACCTCCCGCACAATTTACCACTTGGTTCTTCCAGTCGTTTGTTGGCTCATAATTTGCCGAGAGCCTCCTGCGACCTCTTCCCCCGCAGACGCTGGGGCCAGAGTGTACGTGCTCCCGTGTGTTCCCGCTTCCATTCGCTTCTGCCCAGCTGAGAACTCGACGCCTCCCACACGTGCTTTTCTCCATGTTCGAAGACCTCTTTTTACAGATTTTCAAATGCCTTAAATCTTTTAAACCTCTGCACCTTATAAAATTAAGGCTTTATAAAGAGCTTACCTTTTCCACAAATCTTCACCTCTTGAGTGTGGCTACAACAGTTGGGGAATCAACTGGAAAGAATAAAGAAATCTTGATTCAACACTAAAGCCTTTACATTCAGCGAGGTGAAGTCCATTGACCTAGATCTGTCCCTGAGAGAGGCAAGGGACTGTGAGAAATTCTAAGAGTTTCTTAGATTTTGAGGAGCATTGGTAAATATTGATATTAAAAGTCAGGTTCACTAGCCACTTTTATTTCACTTTCCTGAAAAATCTGCCAGACAGAAAGTTCTCATTTTTATTCACCTTCATTGTTACCCCCAGAGCAGCTCTCTCCATAGCAACTGAAAACTTCTCTGGGTTGAAATAATCCTCTCCAGCTCCCAGTGCACAGTCAAGGAATTTTAAAAACAAGAGGACTTTGTAACCGAAAAATACTCTGCACGATTTAAAAGGCCACGGAGCTCCAGATAAATAATCATTTATCTTCCTTCTAACGGTAAGCACCGCATTTGGAAATGTTTGTCTCCTCTGCTGTCATTTTTTAAATGCTAAAATAAGAATCTTGAACTTTCTCTCTCTCTTTTAACTGTAAAAGTAATCCCAATTATCTATCTCTTCTTACTACCCCGCAGTCATTACTAGCCCATCGCCAGGCCAAGATCTGACATGAGATGCTGTTAACATTTTGCATTTTCCTTAAGCAGTCCATTCAAAAGATTAACTTTTTCCGCAGAAAGCTGATTGGCTCTGACACTGTCCCTCATGCCTTTAGTGACCATTGAGTATGTGGATTTATCAGGGCTCTTGCAGTCTTGGAACTCTTGGGCTTTTCTGCTCGTTCGTACTTTGATTGGACTAAAAACTTAAAAAATGGCCACTGTTTTCTGGGCATGACTGTTTTCTTCTATTTACCCTTCCTTGACTATAACCATCTCATTCAATGTGATATGGGTAATTTATTGAAATGGATTTTCTGGGGGCACCTGGGTGCCTCAGTCCGTGAAGCATCTGCCTTTAGCTCAGGTCATGATCTCAGGGGCCTGGGATCGAGCCCCGCATTGGGCTCCCTGCTCAGTGAGGAGTCTGCTTCTCCCTCTCCCTCCCTACCCCCACTGCTGCTCATTCTTTCTCTCTCGCTCACTCTCTCTCTCAAATAAATAAATAAAATATTTTTAAAAAGGAATGTATTTTCTGTTTATTTTTATTTACTTACTTGAGCGATGAGGACCACACAGCACTGGGGGTTCTACTGTAGTATGGGATAAAATGAGAGTACCTCCCATCTGGGTCCTCTGACTTGTACCATCTACAAGATGAAGAGAGAAACTTCTTCTTCCTAACTCTTTTCCTCTGTTTAGTTTAGAGAGAGGCAGTCTAACAAACTTCTTGGCTCTTCCTACAGTTTGAAAGTCTAGGGCCATGAGAGTTGCCTGCTGCTGGTGGTTATAATTGACCTACGGACCCCCTGCTGTCCAGAAACAGCTTGCCTTTGCAAATCAGCTTAGCCACCCAATTAATGAATCCTTTCAAACATGTTGCAGGCACAATAATTAAAGCCTTTATTTTTCCCCTTTACTAGAGAAATTCCTCCGGTTACAAGTGTGCACCAGCAGGCCACCCAACTCCCTCAGACACTGACTGGAGGTAAAGGAAGAGTAGAAATGTGCTTCTGGACAAAGCTTCCAGTATTTGGGGTGTCTTTGTTCCTCCTACTCAGCCTCGTTCCCTCTACTGAGACAGAGAGACCCTCGAACCAGGACAGCAGCAGCGCCTGGAGCCCAGGCCACCTGATGGAAATACTGCGAGCTCTCTCTGCTGGTGACCCCCCACCCCGGAACCATTCTGGAAGCCTCATCCAAACATTGCTGGAGAAAACTGGCTGCCCACGGAGGACGAAGGCAATGCAAGGAGACTGCAGTCTGGTTAGTGCAATAGAATATGGGATCAGGTGCCAGGCAGGTTCAAAGAGGAGCAATGGATTCTCTTGCCATTTATTTCAGTAAAGCAAACACTAATGCAGTACCCAAGTGGGCGGCGCATTGTGGTATAATAACTCCCATGGTCAGGATATTGGAAGCCATTGAGCATTCCGGGTATAGCATTTAAAAACACGGAGAAGTACTTTTATTAAGATGGTAATGTTTATGAAAGCCTGTCTGCAACCCGCATGTTAAAGGGTATTAAGTTGCAAGTGTGAACTTTTAGTTCTCTCTTCTTTCTGATTAATTTTTTTTTTTTTTTTTTTGTGGTTAGAGAGAACTTGTGCATCACTGGTTACACGCTATTCCTTTTTGAGAGTATAATGATAGTGACAAGATATTTGTCAAATGTTGAATTTTTAAGTACTTTATCCTGGATCTTGATTGGTGTTTTCTAGTATTTTACATGGTAGATCGCTAATGAATTGCGATAATCATCCTCTTAAAAAATCTGAGGGGCGCCTGGGTGGCTTTTTTTTTTTTTCCACAGAAAGCTGAAAAATAATTTATTCCAGTAGATGGCAGAAATAAGAAAGTCATCCTGAAAATATACTTTGGTGTAATTCTGTTGGGACAGATATTCCCTCTGAACATGCTCTCCTACTGACTGCCTTGTCTTGTGACAGTTTTTAAACACTTTGCTGATTCCCATGTTGTGACCAGGCAGGAGTCATCTTCAAATTCACAGGTGCCAAGGAGAGAGCAATGTATTTCTCAGTCAGTTAGGCATCTGATTCTTGGTTTTGGCTCAGGTTATGATCTCAGGGGCTGTGAGATGGAGCCCTGTGTGGGTTCTCTCTTCCTCTCCCTCTGCCCCTCCTGCTCATGCTCTGTCTCTTTCTTAAATAAATAAATAAATAAATAAATAAATAAATAAATATTTTTTAAAAATGACACATCTGAACTGGGAAAGAGAAGTGTTGTAGACGGAGCTCAAATGAGGCCTATGGCTCATGGGCCACGATTCCCAGCCTTACCTGTGGCTCTCAACCCTGTCCACACCTCAGCATTGCCTGGGCAGCTTTCACCAAATACTACATTGGGGCTTCTTCCTCCCTCCGTAGATAAGATTTAACTTGCCTGGGATGAAATTTTTTAAAAAGCCTCTACAGGCCGCTTCAGTGTAAAATCTGTTTTAATGTAGAATCAGAATGTCTCCGTGAGGGTGGAAGGATCCACAGGGACAGCACCAGAGTCAGGAGCGTGTATTGTAAACGATAGCAAATGGGAACAAATGAAAACCCATTCACCATCCCTTTCCTGATGGATGAGACTTTTTTTTCAGAATGAACCTACAAATAAATGAATAAATAAATAAGAAAAGAAGCAAATAACTGCCTCCAGAAAAAAAAAATTGGCAGATTTTCTCAATCGTGCTTAGGTCTAGGGGAAACATTTCCTGGGCCAAGTGTTTTGTTTTGTGTTTTTTGGTGTGTTTGTGTGTGTGGTTTTTTTTTTTTTCATGACAGAGGGTCTTACTAATAGAGAATTTTTCTCTGCTCTGTACAAACAATAAATAATTCAATAATTAGTGAAATTCCCAAGGGCTCCCAGAGAAAACATGTGTTATAATAGGCAACTCATCTGTGATGACATTAATTTATATATATAGCAACATAAGACTTCCCCATGGAAATAAGTAGGAGTCATATCTTATTAATGTCCTCTGAGAATTTGCTTCAGGGAAATGTTTTCCCCTAATGACATAAAGTGCCTTATTAAGGCTGATTGAATATTAGTCTAGCTAGTGAGAATGTAAACATGCAAAATTGTTCTGTTTTTTTGGGGGGGGGGCAGGGCAGAGGTTGTTTTGTACTTTTTGTTTACTGTGACATTAATTTGGCCAACTTAGCTTCTGTCTAAGCTATGTCTTTGTCCCGGGAAGTGAAACACTTGTCTTTAATAGTCTCCTTGCTGCTGCTATTTCTCTGTGGAAAAGACTGTGGTTTAAAAAAAGAAAAAAAAAAAAAAAAAGCAAATTTCTACTTCACCTGCTCAGAGGGCTACACTTCACCTGAATCACCCATAAGCAAGGATCCCTACGAAATCTCTCCATCTCATTCATAAAAAGCCAGGGAGAAACAGTGTCCTAGGGCTTTACAAACAACTGCAGTCTAGCACAAACCACAGGGCTTGAGCTTGTTGTTAAATCTCTCTTATGTCTTTTTAGGGACTTTTCCATTTAGAGGCAGGGTGTATATTAGAAATTCTCTGATAGGGGACTCTTGGGTGACTCAGTGGTTGAGCGTCTGTCAGCTTTCAGCTCAGGTCATGGTCCCAGGACCGTGGGGTCGAGTCCTGCCTCAGGCTCCCCATATGGAACCTGCTTCTCCTCCCTCTGCTTATGTCTCTGCCTCTCTCTCTCCGTGTTTCTCGTGAGTGAATAAATTTTAAAAATATTTTTTAAAATTCTGTGGTAAAAAGGGGGTGGGTGGGGTGTAAGTTCCTATCCCTAAATGTCTGAAAAAAAAGAGGGAAGTGGGGAGAAAAAATGTTTGCAATTGTATTTTCAGACTTAGGTAAAAACTGAATGGGAGTGTGTGTGTACATAAATCAATCTGAAGTATCTGAAAGCACTGTGCATTTAAAAATAAATCCATTCAAGCTTTAGCCTTTGAAAATGGATAGTCTTGCCTGATCATGGCCCTTTTTTCTTTTTTTAATGAGAAGGATTAAAATGGAGTTTTAGTGAACTTAATGAGGGATTAAGTTAACTCTAAGAGAATGAATTCCACTTCAGTTATGGTGAGAACCATGAGCTTACATAGGTTGCAGACATGGTGAAGGGATAAGAACTTGGATGTCTGGAGTCAGCACGGGGCCCAAATCCTTGTTCTGGTACCTTCTAGTTGATAGGACATATTGAACATCAGTTCTCTCATCCGTAAGACCCAAGTGCTGGTTCTCTCCTCAGGGAGCTGTGTGTGAGGACAGCTGGGGCAGGACAGCTCAGGCTCTCTCCATCCCCTCATGTTTCCTATACATCATGGGCATTTCCAACCCCTGGACACCGGAGCAGTGCTGGTGAGGTACCTGCAGTGCTGCCAAGAAATGGAACCTTCCTCAGTATCAACATTCTGCCCATCCCCAGACCTCTCCCCTCTCTGTCCCAAGGGTTAGGGGTTTTTATCCAAGATCTCTAGAAGATTCTCAGATACATTCAAGGTAAAGAACCACTACTTTAAGGTCCTGCATTTCATTCAACCTCCCTTCCCCCATTTGTCATTTCTGTTATAGGATAAAAAGGGGTTAGCTCAAGTTTTATCTTAACTTTTTGATCTAACAAATTTTTATTACCCTAAGATTTATCTCTGTCAGTCAGAAATGCCACAGAATTTGGTCTAGATCCACAAAAAGCCAGTGTCTGCCATCAGCCAACATCCTTCCAACTCTTGGTTTGTCTGGAAAAGGAAGAAATGTAATTTCCCTTTTATAGTCGACACAATCCCCCAAAAAGACCTTACAAAAATCTTAGAACTTGAAAAAAATCCAGTGGATTTATCTATAACCCAAAATCAAATTAAAGTATCTTTGGATTTAAAATCTTTAAAGTTTATCCTACAAGTCTGATAACTGTCCTATTAACGTAGAAGAAAGATTTCATATCGCTTTTTGTCAGTAAAGCTTTCTTAGCATTAGCAATGAACAAAACTGAATGAAGCAACTGGGGAAGATGATCTGATTTGGCTAAAGGAATCCAGAATCTGTGTTTTTACCCCCCAAAACCTTGTGCTTCCACCTGACAAGATTTTAAAAAATCGATGGATTATTCCTGAATGAGTCCATTCTTCTTTAACAAAGACTCATTTCACCAGACGGATGACGGATCTCAATGTCCATGGGGTGGAAGTATTTGCAAAATTTTACTAAATATTCTCTCCCCAACACAACTTAGCCACTCCTAAGATCCCTAACAACTAAAACAAATCTAGTGACAATGAGTTGGAAAGTCCAATCCCCCACCAATCCCCATAGTGCTTCTTGTCATGTCAAAGTCTGTTAGCCCCTCTGATGATCCCTATAATTGTCTTTCCTCAAGCCACTGCCTTCCATACAAAAATAACTTCTTAAGAGTCAAATATCCTAAAAAGGCAGAAAAATTTCAGCCCACAGACATTTGATTCACAACTGAGCTTTATTTGAGCAAGCCTCAAAAAATTAAAGCAAGGTTTAGGCAACTTCTGTTCATTCAAGATGAAGGAAACTTCTAGTTAGAAAAAATGAGATGCTCCACAGCTATTTAAAAATTTTCAGTTACAAATCAATTTACCTTCCATGTTATATGCTTTTCACAAACCATATCTTACCCTATCCTCTGTTGCCCCAGGCCACATCCCTCCTACCCCAATCCTAGAAGGGTATGTTGAGAAGGAACCACAAATAGAGAGGGATCTCGGGCACCTCTAATGGGATGAAATGTGGCTGCGTACTCTTGTGTGTGGTCAAGCAAACCCTGGCCACATGTGTCTGGTCTGGTGGCCTCATGGAAGTCCCACTTCTCGTGTCACTGGCACTCTTTTTCCAACCTACCCAGCCTCTTCAAACAACCTGAGCAGAACTTGAAAGTCTGTCAGCAGGAACTCCTTCAGTCTTCTAGTTGTACTATGTTCTCATTGATTTATATTACAGCCTTACCTATCTCTTGGTCTCCTAATTGACCTCTTTTTCTATCAAAGAGGAGGGAGAGAAAATTACTAGTTGAAGGGGCTGCACATGAAGTACATAGGTGTGTCTGTAGCTTAGTTCTTCAAGGCACAAAATGAAGGGATAAGAGAATAAAAGCCTATCTTTGGTGGGGGGTGAGGGGATTAAGATTGGGCCACCACTGTTAGCCTTGTGACCTTAGGTACATTACCCTTTCTTAGACTTGCTTTTCACATGTGCTAGAGATATAACTTTCTTATAGAAAGAAGACATAATTCATGCTGGATTCTGTGCAGTGTCCTTGCATACTGCATAGAAATGTACCCGTTATTCACTATGCATTAAATAAATGGGTAATTGGTAGTCTCAGTGCTTAACATTATGCAGAAATATTTGGTGGGTTATCAAATAGGCTGGAGATATTTTGTTTTTCCATTTTAAAAAATGGAATGAGGGACACCTGGGTGGCTCATTGGTTGAGCGTCTGCCTTAGGCTCAGGGTGCGATCCCAGAGTCCTGGGATCGAGTTCTGCATCGGGCTCCCTGCGGGGAGCCTGCTTCTCCCTCTGCCTATGTCTCTGCCTCTCTCTGTGGCTCTCACGAATAAATAAATTAAAAATTTTTAAAAAATAATGAACTAATATTCTTACCATCAAAAAATTTGTTATCTGACATTTTTTCCAGAACCAATTAGATCTATTTACTGAGGAATACCTTGGTACCTAAGGTGTTTAGCACTGTTCTGGGCACATGGCTTCCAGTAAAGGATAGCTAACACTATCAATAGTTTGGTTTCAGGAGGTTATATGTTACAAAGAATGGCTTTATTACCCTTTTGTTTCAACTGATTCGCCTGCTTGAGTCTTGGCGTCAGCCCTGCCAACAGCTACCAACCCATGCACTTTTCTTGTGGGCTAATCAAGAAACAAAAGGGCTGGGTTGGTTTTAGTGGTGGAGCTTAATGGTCACAGTGAGTTAGTCTTGTTGGGAAGCCCGGGTCCTTCCGTTTGCTGAGTTCTTATCCCAGTACACTTGAACCAGAGAGAGAACAGAATCCATATGGCTTGTGAAGAATGTGATTAGTGCTTTGTTTTAGAGACAGATGACATGTTTCTTCCTGACTCAGATAGTGTGTCCCAGATGTTACCCAGTGGGACACACAGCACATATGGAATTAGGATACCTGAAACTTCCACCTCAGAGAATAGATTAAAAGATGTGATAGTAAATTGTCCCATAGTGGGAAAAATCCCTCTGGGGCTCAGGACAGGCATCCCTGCATGCCTTCACTCTGAAGCTGGTACTGTGCAGTGGGACACTCCTGGGATCCTAGGAGAATTTTTAGGAGCTCCTCACTGTCTTAAGTAAGACCATTCCTGTCTTGCCAGGAGAGCTTCTGCTCCACAACCCCGTGTGTATCTTTTTCTCATTGTCCCATCACATTACCCAAAACACCTTCTGCCTCATAAACTTCCCTGATGAGACTTGCCGGGCATCTGGCTGTGGGTGTGAAACAAATGAAGCATCATGGAAGTATTTTTAGCAATTCTCTTAGGTAGGATAAAGGCGAGGCAGATGGCATTCATTCATTCCATTTCACGCCTTGTAATTGCCAGGCATTGTGCTAGATGCTGAGGATAGAACTGTGCACAGACAAAACCTGGCCCTAATGGACCACTTATTCTCAAGGGAAAAGACAAACGTGGAGAGAAAGTAATTATAGAACACTAGTGCCACAAAGAAAATAAACATGCTATGTGCTGGGGCTGCCACTAGCTCCATGTGACTGTTGGGCACTCGATACATGGCTTGTCTGAATTGAGACATGCTGGGAAGTGTAAAGTACACTCCAGATTTTGAAGGCTTAGCATGGCAAAAAGAATGTCAAGTAGCTAATAAATAATTTTTAAATGGTGATGACATGTTGAAATGATCATATCTTGCACATGTGTTTCAACAAGGTGCATTACAGTCAATATATTATTAAAATTAATTTCACTTTTTAAAATGAGGCTACTGGAAAATTTAAAGGGATGCATGGCTCACCTCTGTAGCTTGGGTCATGTTTCCATCGAACAGTGCTACAGTGCCACACTGGAGAACATGGGGCAGGGGTTGGAGCTTTCTACTTTAGATACGGTGCTCGGGAAGGCATCTCCAAGGGGGTGTCACTTTCAGCTGAGATCTGAGAAATGAGGGGAAAGAAGATCTGAAAGGTGGTAGGAAAGGGCTTGGTGGGACTGATGGAAAAGGTCAGTGAGAGAGGTAGGGGGAGGTTAGGATGAGGTAAGGGAGGTAGGTAAGCAAGAGCCAGACCAAAGAGAAAGCTGTGTGGAGCTTGGATTTCATTCTAAATGCAATGAGGCATTACCTTAAAAGCCAAAGAGTCAACTGGTTTTAGTCAAGCCAGCCATTAGACAATTGGAGATCGGAGGACTACTGTCCGGGAATAAGGCACCACTGAGGTATCAAAGTCCAACCAGGACTGTCTTATCTGAAGCTGAGTGTTGGGCCTGCCCCCATGCCCCTCCTATTTATAAAATAATAGGCAGTGGCGATCCGGTGGTCGTTAGTGTTCCAGGACTATCTGCTAAACTTTGTCTCTACTTTTGTTTTATTTTTTGTTTTCGGAACAGTGCTTTGAACCAGATGCCCTATTACTAATAGCTGGAGGAGATTTTGAGGAGCAGCTCCAAGAGGAAGTGGTCCAGAGAGTTTCTCTTCTCCTTCTCTATTATATTATTCATCAGGAAGAGATCTGTTCTTCCAAGCTCAACATGAGTAATAAAGAGTATAAATTTTACCTACACAGCCTCCTCAGCCTCAGGCAGGATGAAGACTCCTATTTCCTTTCACAGAACGAGACAGAAGATATCTTGGCACTCACCAGGCGGTACTTTGACACTTCTAGAAGCCAGGTAAGAAGGGGGAAGGTGCCAACTGGCTTTGCTGCTGAGATACGGTCTGAGAGCCTCGTTTTCTGTCACTTATTTATTCCTAAGACAGTCAAAGGCTTCTAAGAGAGGTATTTGTGGGTTTCAGTTATGGGGTGGTAAGTGATGTCATTTAAAATTCTGAGTATGAAAGGGGGAGATGTGATGAGTAATTATTGTAAAATAAGTTCCAGCCAGAAGGTGGGTGGGTGGGTGGGTGGGCAGGAAAGCCAGGTGACAGGGCAGCTCTCTTCTCCCGAACACGAAAGTGAGTGATTCACAGCTCCTGATCATTCTCCAAGGGCTGACCCGTGGTGGGGAGGGCACTGTGCCTATTTGCCTTGCCTTCTGGCCAGGGGAAAAGAAGGCAGTACCATTTGAGAGAGATGAATTTATCATTAGTCAACAGCTTGCAAAAAGCATTATTCATGACAGTCAGCACAGACAGTATCTCTTCTGCAGCTTTTGATTCGTGCTGCTTATGTTCAAGGGATCTCTCGAAGTGGTTTTCTCCTCTCGGGGCTCCCACCGTGAGGACCTGGGCTCCTGGTCCCTTCTGGCCTTCGTTACCGTTCCAGCAAAAGCTGGCCTTTCAATTACCTTTATCAGCTTTGCAGTGGGGAGTTTGAGCAGATAAAGTGCTCTGAACATAAAAAAAAAAAAAAAAAGAAAGAAAGAAAGAAAAGTTTTTAAAGCCACATTTTCTTAAAGAACTAATTGAGCAGCCTCTGGCACATTTTGAAGAGTATCGTGAAACGTGATTTTTTTCTCTTGAATTTTTCATTGACCTGTGTCTTTGAGCTGCTCTAACAAAAATATCATCGACTGAGTGGCTTGAAGGCAATAGAAATTTCTCATAGTTTAGGAGGCTGGAAGTCCAAGATCAAGGCACTGGGCAGATTTGATATCTAGTGAGAGCCCCCATCCTGGTTCATAAGAGGGATGGTTCCCTCTTAAGAGAGTTTCACCTCTGGCAGAAGGGGTTGGGAAGCTCTGCAGGGTCTCTCTTATAGGGCATCAATCCCATTCATGAGGGCTCTATCCTCATGACCCAATCACCTCCCAAAGGCTCCATCTCATAATATCATCACAGTAGGTGGTAGGATTTCAACATGAATTTGGGGCAGGAGAGGACACAGACATTCAAGCAATAGTGACATGTACAGGTGAATTTGATTTTTAACCTCCATTCTGGCTCCTGGGAACCCAAAGGTATCTGTGCAATCATGCTGTGGCCTACCAGCCAGCAAACATAACCTCCGTTTGCCATAAAAATGTTAATTTCTCTTGTGCTTGGCACACAGATGGAAAGACCGTTTTCCTAAGGGCTGTGTGAGCATCACTTTGGTAACTCTCATTTCATGAGTCTCAAAATAGGGCCATATTTTTGTTTCTACTTCCAATTGAGAAAATGGGTTCCTTTCTGGAATTCAGTTTCTTCTTAAATAAGGAAATAGGCCCACATATAATTTTTTCAGTGCAACATCTATATGATACAAGATCGGTTCAAATTAGCCAACAGGATTTTAGTCATCCCATCTGTTACTGCGTTTTGATGCAGATTAAATGGGAATGAAAACCCAGCACTTAAAAGCAGATGGTGTGTATATATTCAACGCAGATTTCTGGTTATCCAACACATACTGCAAATACCTGGGCTTCCAAGTATATGTGAGATTAAACATTCCTAGAACAGAATAAAATAACTCTATTATGTGTCGACCTACTTTCTCCATCTATTTAGTCAAGGATTCGGATCTCTTGTTGAGTTGCAACCCTTGCTAGGCCTTAGACCAGTTGTCTCCGGAGGCTGGCACTGTCATTCTTTAGCCCATACACGTGGGCCGGAATGCCCTTAGGAATCATTAGTCAGTCAAGCCAGTCTTTTACAGGAGGCTGGGCATGTCAGTGGAGGATGCCACTCTCTCCGACTAGAGAGTGTGAGGTCACAGAAGGTGCTGGTAGACCAGGCCCACTACTACCAGCATCTCTAGTTCTTGGTCTGCATATTCAGTCTCCATATGTAAAGCCCTAACAGCTGCTCCAGGATGCAGCTCTACACAGTAGTGCCCTAATCTGGCCACCCTCCCTAGTAGACCAGAATGTAAATATCCCTCCATTCCTTCCTTTTTTTTGTCCAACTACTGTTTTATCTCCTTGACACAGTCTCTTGCTTCCACCTCTCTCTGTTCTTTCTACTGTTTGCTGTTTCCATGATAAATAAACAAGGATCTGTACAGACTTCTCCACTAGCCCTGACTCTTATAATGGAGGCATAGTGGACGGTGTTGCCATCATACAGTTGGCAAACCCAGAAACCTGAGCCATTTTTAACTTTTTGGACTCCTTCACATTTTCTTCCAAGTCCTTTGTAATATTTCTTAAGTACATCCACTTCTTTTCATCTCAAGTGCTACCATCTTAGGTCAAGAAGTATCTTGGATTAATCAGTAACTTCTTAACTAGATTTCCTGCTCTTAAATTGAGCCCTGGCAATTTATTTACTACTTTGCCACCAGAGTGGTATTTCTATAACCTATCTTACTGTATTATTCTTTTGTTTATAACATTAATGGCTCCAGAGGAGCCATTCCCTTTAGGGGGAGTTTTCATTACACTGAATATAAGGCTCTTGTCACCTCTTCAGCCTACTGTTTATCAGATGCACTACTAGACACTGGGACCAACAATAATAGTGCCAAAGATTAGCCGACCATGTCCTAAATGTACCAGCTACTATATTAAGAATTTCTCACGCATTAGCTTATCTAATCTTAATAACCTTTGTGGTGGGCAGCATTGTCCTTTTCTGCTGATAAAAAATATGAAGGTTAGCAAAGTTCATCATTTTGCCCAAGGTTACTCAGTTACAAATAGCAGAGCTAATATTAAAGCCTTTTCTATCTGTCCTAAGCACTATGTGATGGAACTGGCTTTGATGGTATGAAAGTCCCATCACCATCCTCCGTTTCCATTTATTTCCATGTATAAGGGGAAGAGTATTTAAGAGCATAGGCTTCGGAGTCAGATGTGCATGCACACTGAGACTCTGTTACTGGCCAGGTGATCTGTGTAAAGAGTATCCACTGCACAGAGCTCTGGGAGAATGAAAAGAGGACATAACGTAATGGACTTCTCATAGTGTCTGGCACATAACAGGGACTCAATAAACGGTTGGATGAGTGAATGATATGCTAGTGGAATGCAAGGAAAGATTCTCGCTTTCCAGATGCTCATGATTCAATTGAAGAAAATTGATGTACACGTGGAAAAGATCCTAGATCCTATGGGAGTTCAAAGAACACAGACTGTGCTAGCTCTGATTTGCACTTAGCATGCATTGATCTTGAGAAGAAAGGCAAGGGTGAAAAGAAAAGTTTTCTGTGATGACTCAATGCACCAGAGCCAGGATGAAGTCAAGGGCGGGAATATAGATGTGAAAGTCATTACACTGCGGGCTGTACTTGAAGCTGGAGAGAAACAATTCACCAACTGGACGGTCATGAGCAGCAAGAGATCTTCTTGGAGAAAACACATCTCTGAGGGAGTAATGAGCAATGTTAGGTAAATAAGCATCCGTAGGATGGGAGCTAGAAAATCCAGTGTTGGGAGGATAAAAGAAATGGGTATTTTCCAAACAGAATTCTGAGACTAGAGAATGATGGTCATCATGTTCCTACAAACAATTCAGACCTCTTCAAGGTGAAGAACTATTTCTTGTCTTTTGGAGGAAATCCTAGAGATACTTGAATCACAATAACTTCAGAGGTTCAAACTTTTCTCTTTCTGGTGTATCTGATTTCAGTGTATGGAAACCAAAACGCTGCAGGAAAAGTCTGGAATACTGAGCAGTGATGGTGCTGATGAGAACACACTTCCTCAGCTGGCAGTGACTATCATCGCTTTGTCCCTGCAAGGTGTTTGTCTGGGGCAAAGAAACTTGCCTTCCCCAGACTATTTCACGGAATATATTTTCAGTTTTTTGAATAGGACAACTACTCTCCACATCTCGGGTAAGGGTGCTTTTCATGAATTTCACTGCCAAGTCATACCTACTAAATGAATTGAATTATTTGTTGTTGTTGTTGTTTTTTTTTTTTTTTTTTTTTTTTTGGTGTCAAGTTGTATAAATTCTTTATATATTTGGGGCATTAACCCTTTACCAGATTTTCATTTACAATTATCTTCTCTTATTCAGTAGGTTGTCTTTGAGTTTTGTTGTTTCTTTTGATGTGCAGAAGCTTTTTATTTTGATAAAATCCCAATAGTTTATTTTTGCTTTTATTTCCCTTGCCCCAGGAGACATTTCTAGAAAAATGTTGCTATGACCAATGTCAGAGAAATGACTACCTGTGCTCTCTTTTAGGATTTTTATGATTTTCAATCTCACATTTATTTCCTTAATCCATTTTGAGTTTATTTTTGGGTATGGTATAAGAAAGTGGTCTAGTTTCATTCTTTTGCATATAGCTGCCCAGTTTTTCCAAGACCATTTTTCCTATTGCATTCTCTTGCCTCCTTTGTCAAAGAGTAATTGACCATATAATCATGGGTTTGCTTTGGGGCTTTCTAATCTGTTCTATTGATATAAGTGTTCATTTTAGTGCCATTACCATTTTGATTACTATAGCTTTGTAAGTATAACTTGAAATCTTGGATTGTGATCCCTCCAGTTTTGTTTTTCTTTTTCAAGATTGCTTTGGCTATTCAGGGTCTTCAGTAATTCCATAAAAAATTTAGTATTGTTTGTTCCAATTCTGTGAAAAATCCTTTGATAGGCATTGCATTAAATCTATATACACATTTTAATAATATTTGTTCTTCCAGTCCATGACCATGGACTGTCTTTCCATTTGTTTGTGTCATTTTCAATTTCATTCACCAAAATTTTATAATTTCAGAGTACAGGTCCTTCACCTCCTTGGTTAAATAAATTTATTCCTAGGTATTTTATTATTTCTGGTGCAATTGTAAATAGGGCTACTTTCTTAATTTCTCTTTCTACTGTTTTTTATTAGTATATAGAAATGCAACAGATTTCTGTATAGTGATTTTGTATCCTGCAACCTTACTGAATTCATTTATCAGTTCTAGTTTTTTGGTGGCGTCTTTAGGGTTTCTATATATAGTATCATCCAATCTGCAAATAGTTAAAGTTTTACTTCTTCCTTACCAATTTGGAAGGCTTTTATTTCTTTTTCTTATCTGATAGCTGTGCTAGGGCTTCCAGCACTATGTTAAATAAAAGTGGTGAGAGAGGATATCCTTATCTCATTCCTGACCTGACGGAAAGCTCTCAGTTTTTACCAAGTAAGGATAATGTTAGCTGTGAGTTTTTAAATATATGGCTGTTATTATGTTGAGGTATGTTCCCTCTAAGCCTACTTTGTTAAGGGATTTTTATCATGAGTGGATGTTGTTCTTTGTCAAATGGTTTTTCTGCAGCTATTGAAAAGATTACATGGTTTTTATTCTTGCTCTTGTTGATGTGATATATCACATTGACTGCTTTGCAAATATTGAACCACCCTTGCATCCCTGGAATAAAGCCCACTTGATCATGATTTTTTTTTAAAGATTTATTTATTTTAGAAGGAGTGAGTGTGCTTGTGCAAGCAGGGAGAAGGGTAGAAGGAGAGGGAGAGAATCTCAAGCAGACTCCCTGCTGAGCATGGAGCCATACTTGGGGCTCAATCTCAGGACCCTGAGACTGTGACCTGAGCCAAAGCCAAGAGTTAGACATTCAACCAACTGAGCCACCCAGGTGCCTCAGTAAATGATTTTTTAAATGTATTGTTGGAATCAGTGTGCTAATATTTTGTTGAGGATTTTTGCATCTATGTTCATCAGAGATACCAGCCTCTAGTTCTTTTTTTTCTTTGTGGTGTCTTTATCCGGTTTTGGCATCAGGGTAATGCTGGCCTCATAGAATGAATTTGGAAGATTTCCTTCCTCTTCTAGTTTCTGGAATAGTTTGAGAAAAATAGATGTTAACCCCTCTTTAAGTGTTTGGTAGACTTGCCCTGTAAGGTTGTCTGGTCCTGGAAATTTATCTATTATTTTTGGTTGTCCAGCTTGTTGCCATATTATGATTTTTCATAATATTCTCTTAAAATCCTTCATATTTCTTTGGTGTTGGTTGTTATTTCTCCTCTTTCATTGCTGATTTTGTCAATTTGAATATGATCCCTCTTTTTTTTTTAATCAAGAGTCTCAAAGGTTTACCAATTTTGTTGATCTTTTCAAAGTGCCAGTTTCATGATTTCATTGATCTGTAGGGTTTTTCGTTTCTAGTTTGTTTATTTCTGCCTTAATATTTATTATTTCCTTCCCTCTACTGGTGTTAGGTTTTGTTTCTTCTTCTTCTTGCTCCTTTAGGTGTAAAATTTGGTTGCTTAATTGAGATTTTTCATGCTTCTTGAGGTAGGCCTATATTACTATAAAATTCCCTCTTAGAACAGTTTTTGCTGCATCCCAAAGATTTTGGATGGGCTAAGCCAAGAATGCATTTGGATGCGCAGATCTCCAGAAGTATATAGGGGTGAAGACATGGTGTTAGCAAGGCTTGCCTGGGTCTGCTGTGGGAGAGGACCTGGAATGGAGGCCTGGCTGGAGGGAGTGTGTTTGCAGGGGAACAAGGGGCAGGGCATGCTGTTTACAAGTCACACAGTGAATGGAGGTGCTGCACTGGGCCCCCCATGTGTCTGTGTGTCCAGAATGGTGTGGGGAGGTGATGGAAGGAGGGAATGGCACCCACCAGCTCCTTTGTTCCTGGAAAAGTCTCCCAACAATCCCTGCTCCTTTAGTTTGAGCTCTGAGATTAATAAACAAATCTCTCCTGTGTGCTCCAGGTATTTTTCAAACAGCTGCTTCCATGCTGTATCATAGTGGGGCTATTTACTGGGCTGTTTAAGGGCCGGGACCGTTTCCTCTTGCCCTCCCAGTTCTCCCAGTTCTCCCAGAGCTGAGCCTGCTGATTTTTAAATTTCCAGGTTTTAAGCCCCACTGATTAGAAGAACTTGTGAAATCTGATCCCTCTGGTTTTCAAAACTGAATATTATAGGTATTTGTCTTCCCTGAGTGGGCTCCTTGGTGAGAGAATCTCTCCTCTCCTGCTGATCCCTCCCTCCTGCAGAAGGCCCTGCAATCTGTTTAGCTCCTCACCACGTCTCCACCCTTCCTACCCTCTTCAAAGTGGCCCCTTTCTCTACATTTAGCTGTGGTCAGTTCTTCTAGTCTTCAGGTCATTTTCTAGGTTATTTACACTGCTGTGTTATCCAGTTGTATCCATGGGACAAGGTGAATTTAGGGTCCTCCTACTCTGTTGTCTTCCCCAGAAGTCACTTTTAAGTGTTTTTTAAAAAATATTTTTATTATAAAGATTCTGTATAATAAAACAAAAGTGACATACAATAAAAATATAATATAAACAAAAGCAGAAACAGTAATATAGTTAACCCCCATGAACACAGGATCTAAATCTCAACAATTGGATAATCTTGTCTTTTATTTGCCTCTACCCTTTCCCATCACTTGATTATTTTGAAGCAAATATTAAATGTTTCTGTATGAATCTCTAATAGAGAAGAGTTTTTAAAAGCACATTATCACCAATATCATAACTAAAAAATTCATACTGATTCCTTAGTACCACAAAAAAGTTCATTAATGTGCAGTTTTCTGATTTTTAAAAAGTATTTTTTTAAATCAAATTAAATCTAAATAAGGTTCACTAAATGTGAATTGTTGGTGTATCTCTTCAGTTTCCTTTATAGATAACATGCCTCTCTCCTGACTCCACCTTCTGAATTTTGTTGCAAATATTTTATTGGAAGAAAAGGAGGATTGTTTATTGTGTCTGGATTCTGATGACGGCATTTCTAGTCATCTAACATGTATTTCTTTGTACTGTGTTTCATGTAATTGGTTACAGAGGTTTGATTAGGTGGCTTATTTATTTGGGGGATACTATCTTATAGTCAGTACCTTCTCTATCAGCAGGTACATAACATCTAGTTGTCTCTCTCTTTTTGGGAAGTCATAAGGTATTGATGATAATTGTCTAGATTGATTATTTATAGCTAATGAAATGATATTCTTCTAATTTACTCATTTATTCTTCATTTATTAGTGTAATAATTCTGTAATGGAAAGCCTCCCCTCATCACAATTTCATTTTATCGAACTTCTTAAAGTAAGAATAAATTCTTGATTCTTTACCACTTTTCAAAACAATAACATTTCCTCACATCCTTCAAAGGAGAACCATGAACATTTTATATCATCATGATTTCATATCTCTCAATCTATTGTCATTATTATCCTAATTAGTGTTCATATTGTTTTCTCTTTGCCCAGTAGAATCATATTCAAGTTGACTTCTAAGACTTTCTGACAAAACTCTTAGGACATTTTGAATCTTCCTTGTTCTCTACTATGATATATTTCAGGTTTATCTTGTACATTTCCTGTCTAGACTTGGAATCAGTTTTTCTGTAATTTTTTTTTATTTTTAAAGATTTATTTATTTGAGAGAGCATGAGTGCATGTGCATGTGCACTTCAGTGGGGAGATGCAGAGGGAGAGAGAATCTGAAGCAGACTCCCTACTGGGCATGGAGCCAGATACAGGGCCTGATCTCAGCACCCTGAGATCATGACCTAAGCTGAAATCAGGAGTTGGATGTTCGGCCAACCAAAGGTGCCCTTTTTAATCTTTGTATAAACAAATTAAAGACTTTTTTAAAAAAGATAGATTTATTCATTCATTCATTCATTCATTCATGAGAGACACAGAGAGAGAGAGAGACAGAGTCATAGGCAGAGGCTTCCCTGCAGGGAGCCTAATGCGGTACTTGATCCCGGGACTCCAGAATCATGCCCCGAGCTAAAGGCAGATGCTCAACTGCTGAGCCACCCAAGCATCCCAGTCAGACTTTTCTTTTAGTGCTTTCTGATTTTGACTTATAGTTAAGAAAGTCTTCCACATTCCTAAGTTTTAGACGAAGTCACCTATGTTTTCTTCTAATATTTGTATGTTTTCATTTCTCATTCATTTTGGATTAATTCTGGTATATGTTGTGAAGAATAAATCCAGTTTATTTTTTTCTATATGACTGTTCACTTTTTTTCTATATGACTATTCACTTTTTTATACTTATTATTTTAAAAGCAGTGGAAATTATTTCCTCCACTGATTTGCGATACCACTTCTATATAATACATTGATAAATGCAATTAGATCTATTTCTGTTTCCTATTCTACTGTCCAGCTTGTCATATTTATGTGCCAATACCATACAGTTTTACTTATAGTGGCTTAATAGTATATTTTACTGAAGATAGCCTTCTTCATTGCTCTTCTTTTCAGCATATTCCCGGCTTATTTTTCCTTCCTAACAAACATCATCAAAATGTCACACTCTGGAAAAAAGCATTGTAATATTGCATCTTTATATCCATGAATATAGGATGTCTCCATTGTTCTTGTCTACATGTGTGTTTTTGTGGAGTTTTTACTCTCATAGGTTTTAGACATTTCCTGCTACATTTATACTTATGCTTTTAACGTTTTTCTTGGTTTTTTTAAATGGTGTCCTTTCTTTCATTATATCTTCTAACTGGTATTTGTACATATCAAGGATTCTGATTTTCGTAGACTAATTTTATAACCTCCATTATTAAATCTTTTATTTTTACATTTTTTTAGGGTTTTGCCTCTTGCTTTCCAATTCTTAAGTCTTAATTAAGTCTCTGCTTGCTTTCTTATTTAAATAGTACTAAGGATAAATAGTAAATAAAACTGTGGGTAGTCTGCATTATTATCATGTTTCTCAATTTGAAAGAAAAGCCTGTAGTGTTTCCTGAGTTTAGAATAAATGAGAAAAATATAAATTTGTCTTTTATATTAGCCTTATACTTTATACTTATATTTTTAGTGCTCTTCATTTCTCCCTATAGATTCAATCTATCATTTAAATCATTTCTTTTCAGCCTGAAGAACTTCATTGAATATTTCTTTTTTTAAAAAAAAAGATTTATTTATTTATTCATGAGAGATACAGAGAGAGAGGCAGAGATACAGGTAGAGGGAGAAGTAGGCTCCATGCAGGGGATGTGGGACTTGATCTCGGGACTCCAGGATCACGCCCTGGGCCAAAGGCAGGCACTAAACCGTTGAGCCACCCAGGGATCCCCTAATTTAGTATTTCTTATGAGGCAAGTCTTCTCTCAATGAACTTCTCATTTATTTTTTATCTGGGAATTATTTTATTTCACCATCATTTCTGAAGAACTGTTTTACAATATAAAAAATCTTGATTGACAGTCTTTTCTATTTGCACTTTGAGTATGTGATTCCACTACTTTCTGGCCTCCATTGTTCAGATGGGAAGTAAGCTACTGATTGTATTGATGGTTCCTTTTATGTGATGAATCATTTTTCTGTTGCTGCTGTTAAGATTTATCTTTTTCTTTGACTTTCATCAATTTGGCCTCAATAGGTCTAGGTGTGGATCTTTTTATATTTAACCTTCTTGATGTCTGATGGACTTCTTAAGCCTTAGATTAAGGTTTTTACATAAATTTAGATAGTTTTTGACATTATTTCTTCCAATATTTTTTCTACAACTTTCTCTTCTCTGATTGCCATTGTATATAGCTTGGTATACTTACTGTTGTCTATGGTCTCTGAGCTTGTTCTTTTTGAAAATCTTTCCCTCCCTCCCTCACTTTTCAGACTGGATTATTTATATTAATCTATCTTCATCTTCAGTAACTCCTCCTTTTACCATTTCACATATGCTGTTGAGCTTCTCTAGCGATTTTTTTCATTTCACTTACTGTATTCAACACCAGAATTTCCATTTGGACTTTTAAGTAATTTTGAATTTCTTATTTATTCTATTTGTTGACTTGTTGTCACACTTTAATTTTTTAAATATGCTCTCCTTTAGTTCCTTAAACCCACTTATAATAGCTGCTTTGAAGTCTTTTTCTGTTAAATCCAACACCTGGGAATACTTACAGGCCTATTTAATTAACTGTTTTCCTCCCTAATTCTGGGTCGTATTTTCCCATTTTTTTTTTTTGCAAGTCTTATAATTTTTTTTTTCACTGAAAGCCAGTCATTTAAAATAAAATATTGGGGATGCCTGGGTGGCTCTGTGGTTGAGCGTCTACCTTTGGCTCAGGGCATTTTCCTGGAGTCCCAGGATCGAGTCCCACATTGGGCTCCCCACATGGAGCCTGCTTCTCCCTCTGCCTGTGTCTCTGCCTCTCTCCCTGTGTGTCTCATGAATAAATAAATTTTAAAAAAGTATATTGTAGTAACTAGTTTCTAATTTTTCCTGTCATTGAGGATAACATTCAGGAAAATTCAAGGACATTGTATTCATAAGCAAGATGATGGATAAACCCAAAGAAATTCACCATTATATTTAATTATTCTCTGTGATCAATTTTTAAAAGCCTAGAGCTCTACTAAGGGAAACTAAACTGTAATCTATAAACTGGCAGCCATACTGCAGTATCACTAGAAAACAAAGTCGGCTTATCTCTACAACCTGAGATCCCTTTCATTTCCTTTCTTGTTTCTGCATAAATAAATCCTTAAAATGAAAATCATTTTATTGACTTAATCAAATTAAAGTTGTAGTTAATCTACTAAGGATGTATATAGTACCTCAAGGAAATAAAATTCTTAAGGATTAGACCAGTCCTATCTTTTGTTTGCAGTTTTATAGGGAACATTCAGAAAAAGAGGTAGTTGATTTAAGAGAAGTTATTTTTTACAGGAATTGCCCATTGTATCATCCCTACGAGATAAAAATGGTGGGATTATCTTTGTAAGGCTGATTTAGCCCCAAAGCTTAAAATTGTGCAAAGGAATCAATATTCCCATGAAGTTTAAGTGTTCTTTTAGTATTATTCAGAGTAACATCTTGACTTTTCATCAGAACCAAATCTATTTAGCAAAATATCTATGCTGTGGCCATAAGAAATTATGATTATCCTAAGATTCACCTGTCTTTATTCTATGTGACGCCAGATTTTGTATGAAATTTCTAGAACTAGAGCAACTCCTCAATACTCTCTGGACCAAAAGTACCTGTATCAGAAAAGATAAAATTCATCAACTTCAAAGGAAACAAAACAACCTAACAATCTATGATTGGGGCTCTAATCTATCTGTATCAATGGACCAAGAGTCACATGATGGTTCCATTTCCTGGTATGAGGTATGGTCATTATTCTTATATCACAAGTTGCTACTGTCAATGTTGTAAAAGTTCTATAAGACTTGTGGAAAATTTAAAGGATAATGTGTATTTTCTTAAATGTAAAAATACTCTATTTCTAGAGTGGTCATGGATTTTTCCTTCTATAAATAGATCTCTGTATGCATAAACATGAGGCCAAGATATGTAGGAAAAACATAGAGTATATATAGGTATAAATATAAATAAATGTAAATATAAATATACTCTTTCCTCCCTTGTGTCTGTATTGAATGCATAAATAATTAATTCAGCAAACATACTGAGTATTTACTACCTACCAGTCACCATCATGGGCATTAGGGATACAGTGGTGAACAAAAATAGGCACAACTCCTTTGGAGCTTGCCGGATAGTAGGAGGATATAATTTTTCATATATATTTACAATGATGAATGAATGCTTTAAATGCAGGTTAGGGGACGCCTGGGTGGCTCAGTGGTTGAAAGTCTGCCATCGGCCTAGGCCGTGATCCCAGGGTCCTGGGATCAAGTCCCAAATTAGGCTTCCTGTATGGAGCCTGCTTCTCCCTCTGCCTATATCTCTGCCTCTCTCTCTGTGTCTCTCATGAATAAATAAATTAAATCTTTAAAAAAAATTAAAAAATTAAAAAAAAGAAGTCTGATGACATCAAAATAAGGATATACATATATTGAAGCTTTATATAAAGGAATAAAGATATGTTAAAGATTATTGGCTGGATAATCCAAATTTTCATTCTATTTTATTCTTTATTAAAAATAGTTTGGGTTTCAAATTCATAGAATATAATGAGTCACCATCAAGGACATTTGTATGTTAGTGATTTCAGAAGAAATATAAAACAAACAAATGACCTAAAAAGCCCAGGAACAGCAAATAAAGATCAAGGGCACAGAAGCTTATAATAGAATATCCTTACTCTAGGAGAAGGTAGTCTAAGACCAGAACTATTCAATTTCTTGACAGTGACCTGGGGAAAGAGATGCATGGCACTCCGTTCATGTTTGTCTCCTCACTACTTTACCTACCAGTCAGGCACTTTTCAATGAGAATATTGCAAAGGACTCATCATCAAAAGTTTATTGCCAGTTTCCCTTTGTGGTCAGTATTTTTAATGATGAAGTAATTCTATTCCATTAGTAACAAACGGTGCAAAAGAGAATATTGTCTTTGGCACAAATTTTTTTGACAAAGGGAAAAAAAAACACACCAAGTTTAGCTTTCTGTTCTTGCTTTTTGTAGTAGAAATCTTTTGGAGTTTTGCCCAGTCCTTTTCTGAGAAATGCCTTCCTCGCCCACAGGCGTGAGGCTGGCAACCATGTCTGAACAGTATGATCCCACCTCCCATCTCGCCGGCAAAACTGAGAGGGACGTCTGACCCAAGAGAGCCCATCTGTGGCTTTGCTGAAGCAATCAGATCTCTGTCGGGACTTGCAGACTCAACTCAGTCTTGGGTTTGTGGGCTGAGAGGTCACTTCAGAGTTGGGGCTTATATGGCCATGTGTTTACTAAGGGAGAGAACACTAGACCACGAAAGGAAATAGATATATTCAGAGGGAAACAGAAAGGAAAATACTTGGCCCCAAAAAGAGAGAGACAGAAACATCCTTGGTTCTGGTTTTCTAGCTTCAAGTTGAGTTCCTCCTGAAGGGTGGCTAGTTTTTCAATCTTAGACATCCTTAGTGCCTTCTAGTGCAATCTCCTCTTGGTTCTCTCTGGTTCGAGTTGGTTCCCTTCCCTACAATCAAACATTTTCTAAACAAGATAAGACATTTTTTATTCATGGATTCAGCCCCACAAAAATTACACGGGACAGCCCAGCAAATATGTCATCATTTTCTGATCAGTGATGTGCCTTTGTTAAAAATCCCTGCATTCTCCAGCAGAGCAAACCACACGAGCCTCGTAAATGAATGATTTTCTTCAAATACCTCATAGATTTGTGACTAAAGCACAAAAAGACATTGCGCAAGGCTCTGATTTCAGTAGAAGACGCCATTTGTGCTGGTGGAACTATAGACACATTAAAACTCTTAAATGTAATTTTTGATACACAAAATCAGCCCCAAACACTTCTGAGATACACAGATTCCTTGTAGCAAATTTGAGAGACCTAGTGCATTTGTTTATCTATAATCCTTATCTCTTATAAAGATGTCTATGCAACGTAGAAAAACTGCAAAGATTTACATAAGCAGCGGTAGAAAATAATAACTATTTCAATTATTTTTGTGGAGATGGGAGGTCAGTTACAAAGATATCCATATTATTTAGTGTTTACACACACACTGGTTGACACAGCATTCACTTTTTAAATTATTTACTTTACTTTTATTGCTTTTGAAAATATGTGTTGCCTACATAGGCTTATTAAATCAGAGAATATTAAAGGCAATGATCTCATTACCTCAGAGCTCCTGTTTATCATATAAAATCTTGATTTTGTTGATACAAAGCCGTCCCCACTGAAGAGCAAAAAAAAGTATCAAAGCTTCCTTAAACTGCTGGTTAGAAAACCATTCAACACATTGTAAAATACAGTGCATGTTTTCAGAAAAGATAAAAGGGTGCAAAACTCATACTACATAATACTCAAAATGAAAGTGAGATACAGCTGACTTTGATTAGAGGTTTAAAATAATCTTGGGGGATCCCTGGGTGGCGCAGCGGTTTGGCGCCTGCCTTTGGCCCAGGGCGCGATCCTGGAGACCCGGGATCGAATCCCACATCGGGCTCCCGGTGCATGGAGCCTGCTTCTCCCTCTGCCTGTGTCTCTGCCTCTCTCTCTCTCTCTCTCTCTGTGACTATCATAAGTAAATAAAAATTAAAAAAAAAAAAATTTAAAATAATCTTGGGAAATTATATATACACAAAAGATTGCAAAGGGAAAATGTAGCAATGGCTTCTTGTGTCCTTTTTAGCCATTCTGTTTAGTTCTGACTTCTCAGGAATGGCAATTGATGGGAAGTTTGTTTGCTGAGATTAGTAACAATGATGTTTTCCCCATAGTCTTGCTTCTCTGCAGGGCAACTGGTGGAGATATTTCTACAGAACAGCCTTTCACCCATTTCCAAGGAGGACTTTAAGCGAATGAGTCCAGGAATTATCCAACAATTGCTCAGCTGCTCTTGCCAGCTGCCTGAGGACCAGCAAGCAAAGCTGCCACCGACCACTCTGGAGAGTAAGTTGTAGTTCTTCCCCAAGAAAGTTAGTGCACGTAACATAATAATGACAGTGACCACAGGATACTTATATATCAAACACTGTTCTAAGCATTTTACATTCCTCAACTATTCAATCCTCACAAGAACCCTGAGCTAGATAATAATAATATCTATTTTGTAGATTAAAAACAGGCACATAGAAGTTAAGTGACTTGCCCAAGGACACACAGCTGATAAGTGACAAAGTTGGGATTTAAACCCCAGGAAGCTGGCCCCAGAGTCCTCGTTGTCAGCCATTATGCTACAATACCATTCATTGAATATTTTCTATTGTGTGTGTAAGTTGCACAAACTGATTTTGTCCTCTATGTATGACTCAGTCATGGATCAACGTCAAAGTTCCTAGCTAAGAACTGACATGGTATAAGAGAAAGACCATTAGTGATAGGATCAGAAATTCAAAGTTGAGTCGTGCCTTCTATCTCCAGCCAACTCTGGGATCTTAAGCCATCTCTATTTCCCTGGGCCTGTCTTTTTTTCTGCAGGGTGGGACAGCAGTGATACCTCCTTACTATCCTTTCACACATCATGACACACATAAAAAAACGAAGACATGCTGTGGTAAACCAAAGAGCTCTCTGGGGTGGAAGTGACCATAGAGGGAGGTGCCAGGCTCCCAGACCTGGCTGGAATCCCCAGGAAGCGAAGAAAAGATATTTGCATTCACCTTACCCCACTGAATCACTGTAGTAGGTGAGCTCTGCTGTAGGGCCTCACAGGGTAGCTCTCAGTTTCAAATGGGAATAATGTGTATAAAAAATATGTTCTGTAACTTAAAGCACTTTAAAAGAGAAAAAGCGGCCTAAGAACATCCATGATGGATAGCAAAAATGTGACAGTTAACACCCGCACCCTTTAAAATACTACCAGCAATCTGAGAGCCTATGAATGCTTTTTCAGAGCATTTTTCTTTCTCTTTGAGATAGTCTTGCAATGCCCATCAGGGAAGAACTGTCCAGCTATGCACTTCTAACACACAGTGAATTCTGCAGCATCAAGTGGTTCATTTGAAGATTTTATGTGAACAATAACCTGCCAGACCTAAATATCTAAGACTCCACATTCCCTGAAAGGAAAAAAGCTTCATTAAAACTGAACAATTAAATAATTCAGCACCTGGTGGTCCGCGATGGCTCAGAAATGGGTAAGGGGGACAGACCATGGTATCTAGGAGCCTCCATGAGGATATTTACATGGCCATCACTTGCTGCGGTATCCGCTACATACGGACTGCTGCAGAATAGCTTTATGAACTGGAAATTGGTGAAAAATGTTTATCTTTCTAATGGATGTCTAGACCCTTCTGGAGAATGGTCTTCCTGAGAAAAATTCAGAGAAATCACACGTACTATAGAACCCCCAAAAGCATTGCTGTGCTCAATTTAAAATGTTGCATTTGTAACTTAAGGGAAAGGCTTAACTATAGAAAATGTGAGATGAAGACAGAGGCAGGGGAGAGGTTATGAAGAGCAGTGTTTGGTGTGCTGGCACCTGACCCCTAATAAGCATAACCTTTACAGGAAAGACTGTTGTGGCCAAGTATAACAGGTTTCAGACCTGTTCGAGGGAGTTGCTCAAGAATGGCTAGGAATTCAATTATTAGGGAATGTTTTCCATCCCACTATTGTAATGATGGGAAACATTTATATGGAACCTGTCTGCAAGCTGCCTGACTCCAGTCAAGACGCCATGACACCTCTCTGAGGACCTGGGGTAATTAGCAGCATCCGTGGCCACCAATGGCAGATTTTATGGTTTTCAGGCTATCTTTGCCACACAAGAGCAGGTGAAATCTAATTCACAGAGGACCTAAACAGATTTCTAAGCTCTAAAATTAGGAAATACCCTTTCCTCTCCAATACCACACCGTGGATCCCTTCAGGACAAAGGGGAGAGGAGTAGAAGAATCAAAGGACTGAAAACTTTGCCTTTTGCCTGGGAAGTGCCACACCCTAATTTATCCTTGTGAATTCTCAACATTTTCTGATCTTTTGTAGCTATCATAAAAATGTGGCAACTTTGAATTTTATTAGACAATCCAGGTGCTCATGTTAAACTTCAAATGTCTTTATGTATTCAATGAGAAGAATGACATTCCCACATAGAATCTATTTGTGGAAGAGTGGGATATGAACCTTGGTTAAGTAGCTGGGATGTTTTTATAACACAGATATTTTTACTAAGTCAGAATAAAATAAGACCTCTAGGTGAGTATATGAGGGTTCCAAACCATTTGTTATTTTTTTTTTTTAGTTTTTAATTGTGGCTAAAAAATTGAAACTGAGATGAAACTTAGCCATTCTTAAGTATATAGTTCAGCAGTATTTTCACATTATTGTGCAATACATTTCTAGAACTTTTTTATTTAGCTTGCAAAACTGCAACTCTATATCCATTGAACAATTGTCTTGTAGAGGTTCACTAGAAGTGAAGGGGTGGTGGTAAGCCTGGGAAAATTAAAATTTGAAAGTTTTTTGCTTCTTTTGAGTACACTGCCAACTCTATTTTAATATTAGACTCTTATAATTTAGAACTTATGATTCAAAGAAGTCCTCCTAAAAACGTAAGACCATGTTACCAGCTAATATTAATACAATATAATGTAGAGGGTGAACCTTCCAGAAAAGTATAAGAATAAGAATAGAATACTTTTTATTTCAACAAACTTTAAGATGATAGTTTCTTAAAATCTATAATGGGCTTTAATTAGTATGATAACTGAATTTGATTTAACTTATTATCTGCAGTCACTAAAGGAAATGATAGTTTAATTTTGTAATTACCTTCCTTCACTGTTTACAAATCAATTTGCCATGGCTTATAAGTAATTTCTAAATAAGTAGAAGACAGAGTATTTGCACTGAATATTTGCAACCAAAGGAAAATGGCGGCCTGGAAAACTCTTTATCCCCCAATTGTTTATACAGTTGACCCTTGAACAACATGGGTGTGAATGGCACAAGTCTACTTATATGCATATTTTTAAATATATATACAGTACCATACTGTGAATGTATTTTTCTCTTATGATTTCTTTTCTTTTTAATTTTTATTTTAAGTAGGCTCCATGTCCAACATGGGGCTTGAACTCATAACCCTGAGATCGAGTTGCACGCTCAACCAACTGAGCCAGCCATGCACTCCTCTTATGATTTTCTTAATAACATACCCTCTATGAGGATCCCTGGGTGGTTCAGCGGTTTAGTGCCCTCCTTCAGCCCAGGGCGTGATCCTGGAGTCCCGGGATCAAGTCCCACATCGGGCTCCCTGCATGGAGCTTGCTTCTCCCTCTGCCTGTGTCTCTGCCTCTCTCTCTCTCTCTCTCTCTCTCTCTCCCTCTCCCCCCCCCCATGTCTCTCATGAATAAATAAATAAAATCTTAAAAAAAAATGCCCTCTAGTTTAACATTGTTCAAGGGTCAACTGGACCCTGAAAGCCATTTTTTTCTGTCTCTTTTAATCTTTTCTCTTTCCTTCTTTGCTGCTTTGTCCTTCATACATATTTGCTTTTGTTTGAAAAAAATCTTAAAAATTGCACTTCTTGAATATTTTTTGAAAATTTAGGAGCCTAGAAACATGAGATAAATTTAGAGGTTATAAAAAATTATTGCAATAATTTAAAATGTAGGCTGTCCAGGGGCTCCTGAATGGCTCAGTTAAGCATCTGCCTTTGGCTCAGGTCATGATCTCAGGGTCCTGGGATCAAGCCCCTGTGTTGGGCTCCCTGCTCAAGAGGAAGCCTTCTTCTCTCTCCCCTGCTCCCTCTGTGCTTGATCTGTCATTTTATGCACCATGGATAATAAACACTTTTGACGTTATGAATAATTTTGAGAACTTTTGGAAGGTTGTACTTCCCTTGTACAGAAACATAAGTCTTCTAGGGCCCAAACTACATGCTTCCTCTGTAACTCTGCTTCCTTGACTTTAGAATGTTTAAGTGGGATTCAAAGGAAATCTTTACCAGTGTATGGCAGCAGTTGCTGTGGTTTATAGTGAAAGAAGTTAATTTCTTTGGTAGTGAGAGGTAAGCTAGGTCCTCGCTTGCTTTACTAAGGAGTCATTGGGGTAACTTCAAAGCGACAAGATTAATGGCGAAAGTCTTTTCATTCTTTTCCTTGAAAAATAAGACCTTTATACTCATAGAACAACTCCATATCCCTATAAGCTGTACTGTAAGATGGATTCTTCTGGCATTTTCACTGGCTGGGGCTCTGGTAGTGGATGATGAGCACTGACTCCTTTGCAATCTCCATTTGGCTTAGAATATGGCTACAGCACAGTGGCCGTGGCTCTGCTCACACTGGGCTCCATGCTCGGGACAACGCTGATTCTGTTCCACAGCTGTGAGGAGAACTACAGGCTTATTTTACAGCTGTTTGTGGGCCTGGCCGTTGGGACACTTACTGGGGATGCTCTGCTCCACCTTCTCCCTCAGGTAACTCTTTTCTGTTTTCAATGGTGTGCTTCTAATTTCCATTTCCATTTTATCACTGGAGATGTTGATGCAAAATTTCACAGTGACTTGGCCAGCGTCTTCCTTGGAAATAAGTATTGTTTCCCCAAAACACTTATAGGGGAAAAGAGAACCAGTCCTTAGGTTCACCACATGTTATTGTTATTTTTGAAATAGACCAAAAAAGGGTTGCAGATGCAGATTCCTATTAACAAAATTTCAGGAAATATTTACTACTTATCTGTTAAATGAAAATGAATTGGGCTGCAAGATGTTGGGCTGAGTTTTCTCCAGTTGTTCCCAACTCTCATCAGATCCCTTCTCTGCCCTCTCTGCTGCTTTTTTTCTGTCCCAGAAGACTGCTCCTCCTCAGCTTCCTTGGGAGCTGAATTTTGTTTGGATTGAGCCAATGGGAGTCACAACAGAAAAGCCAGGGTAGGAAGAGAGAGAGGCAGGGATATTTCTTCCCCGCACTCCTGGCTCTGTACTTGCTCTAGAAGCAACTGATTACCTACAAGACTACAGCTCCCATGGGAGGCTCCTCCCCAGCTCCACCTCCCACTGAGCTACAGACTTTAGTTCCAACCTTCGCCCTTTCTGCCCTAAGAGAGGAAATGGTTTCCTGAGGTTGCTAGCTTCCAGGTGTCTCATTATCCCTTGTTCCAACCCTTGTTGCCCACACCTCTGTCATTGCCCCATCAGTATTGTCTCTTCATTTGAACAATCAAAATGAATTTCCTTTTTTTTTTTTAGCCTAATAACATCTAGATTTACCTTAAGAAAAACATAAGCACCAGGAAGCTGGCTCTTTGCTGAATTCTTCTGAGGCTCTTTATTTGTCAGAAATGAAAGGACAAAGACCTGAGATGCAAGAGTTCAGACAGAAGGGGCTCTTAGATGAGGTTACTTCTTCCCTCTGAAATCTCTTGGGACAGTTAATGATGGGCAAATGAGCCATCTCCCCTCTTGCAAAGCTGGAGATGTTAAAAATTTCCACAGGCCTCTGGCAATTTCCTACTGGGTCACTGTTGTTGCTCAGGGGCTCAATGATTATTAGATGTTCTGAAAATCACAAAGTGAGCATTGGAAAATGAAACAAACCATTATTTGTTTTAATTTCCCCTGTAATCTAATTTTCTGGAAATATTTCAGGGTTTATTGGCTTGAGGCAGTGGCCGAAGACTTTTCCTAGGTCCCTTTCGTGGTTGCAGAGCTATTCGCTGCCCAGGATCTGCAAAACAGCAAAAGGGTCTTATGGCTTCCTGTGCCTTCCCCCACTGCCCATGGGGGACATGTAACTCCAGACAGCAGGCATGGACTTGGGGGTAGGAGGAGGGGCTGGGGCCCTCAACTGGTTCTGCAGAGACATGTTCCAGAGAGGAGCTTAAAAGATTAGTTAGGTTTCATGAAAATTGGAAGGCAACTGCTTTACTTGAGGGAAGAGACGTGGACAAAAGTTATTGGGGAAAGAAAGAAAGGTGCAGTACAAATGTGGTGGAAAGCTAGAAACATCAGTGGCTCCCAACGGTGATCCATGGTTAGTGTTCAGAGGACTGCACAGAAACAAGAAAAACATGACTGCCATGATTTCCTCTTTTTCACTAGCAAAATTTACTCAACTTAAAGGTCTACATTTTATTCTGAGATTGTGGGGTTTTCTTCTGTTTTGTTTCATGAACTTACTGTGTCCATTATTTTGTGAAATTACAGTAATTACAAATATTAGATGGGTATCTTTTAGTGTCTTTACCAAAAGGAAAAGTTGACTAACATATATTGGTTTTGAGTTATGTTACATCAGAAACTCAATGTATATTCTTGCATATATATGTACACTCACTCACGTACTCATGTGCACATACGTGTATGCGCCTAAATATACATATGCGTCTATGAACACACATATGTGTACAGTATGTACTCATAGGATTGCTTTTTCCTTTTTTTACTTTGATGGTCAGTAGCATCCTAAATGTAGAAACCACTGAGCTGTTTCCCAAACTGCCTTCTCCCGGGGAGGCAATATGATACATGATGATTTACTGGCTCACAAGAAATCATGAGGTCAACCAATGGGATGAGTCAACTAAAGGAAAATTCTTAATGCATTTCTTGTATCCTTTTGTTTCCCAGAGAGCTGACAGGATTGCTGGGTACACAGTATACATTCCATGAAAGAAATCTTTCAGGCAGATTTCTTACTTATCTGAACATTTTTAAAAAGTTTTGTTTAATTACAATGGGGCATAGGGAGAATAAGCCCCAGATGAAATATATCTTTATATTTCTTCTGGATATAAAATAAGTTGATCTGTTATAAAGACTTGCTGTGCAAACAGATACAGATTAAACTCTGGGGTGGAGGGAAGGACTGAGAGTATATGAAAATTTGGTTCTCCTGTCTTTTCTCTTATACACATTTTGTTTGACTCTGATTAAATCATATAGTGGCAGTATTTGTACAACTAAAAGCAAACTTGGCTTTGAATGATTCCAGCAGTTGTCATGTCCTCCCCAGAAGGAAAGGTGAATATATTCATTACTGGACCTATTAATTAATATTGAAATCATCAAAAGTTATTTCTTTGTGTATCTTTTTTTTTTTTTTTAAGGTTCTTGGTTTACATAAGCAGGAAGGCTCAGAGTTTGGACATTTCCATGAAAGCAAAGGCCATATTTGGAAACTGTTAGGATTAATTGGAGGCATCCATGGCTTTTTCTTAATAGAAAAATGTTTTATTCTTCTGGTATCACCAAATGCTGAGGTATATTTTAAATTTTATTTATCCTGTGCTTTAAAGCTTCTTAATATTCATCTTTTATTTAAAAAGTCCATGTTGAAAAGTAGTTGACATCTTCATAAAGTTCTCTGTAAGGGATGGGACTCTGATTTCCAGAATACACACATCATTCTGAATGGCAGCTTCCCTACAAGTATGGTTATTAATTTTTTAAACCTCTGTTGCTGGCCTGTTAAGGTACTTGTTAAAACCTGCTCTTTGACCTTCGTGGCTAGTTTAGAAACAGGAGACTATTTCATGTCTGAGAATGAAGGGACCCAATGACCTAGCTACTAATCAGCATTTTGGATGTCTTTCCTACCCAAAAACATATAAACATGCAGGCAAAAACTTTGAAAACTCGCAAAATTACCCATCATTTTCTATCCTAAGAGCATTTAAAATTATAAAAACAAAGAGCTCAGAAATGGGATTTGTGGCAGATCTTTTTTTTTTCAGCTGAATAATTGCATCCATTGTGCCTGTATTTGATCAATTTCTATGTCTGTGATGAAACGTAAAATGCAATATGGTTTTTTAATGGATTTGTTTTGCTCTTACACATTATCCTATCAGACAATAGATTAGCTGGTGGGTTGGTTAAAAAGATAAATGCTTGCAAACAACTCTAGGAGACTAAAATATAGCAATTTTTCCTTCAAAGTCCTAGGGCTCTATATCCTCCATGGTTTTCCAGTTATTTTCTGGCTTTCTCCTTGTTCACGTAATTTATAATATGTGTGCTCAGGGAAAACTTTAGCAGCCTTTTAAAATATTCAGCACTTGTTTATTATTATTCCTAAATTTTATCCAAGATCCAGATTCTATGCGTCAAAAAATAAGATGGTTTTATGGATGAACAAAGGGATGATAGATGAAAGAAAGGTGGTAAAATGGTTGTAGTCAAATGTTAATTGTACAATCTTGGGAGTATTTGAGTGCTCTCATTACAGTTCTTTCAGCTTTTCTGTGTATTTGAAACTTTTCACAGTAAATAAAATGCTATAGAAATTTTCTTTTTAATGAAGCAGGGTTTTTCTTTGTCCTGGAGCTCAATGCTATAGTAATTCAGAAATTAGGAATGTAGCTTTGATTACAGTCCCTACCCTTGCACGCTCAACAACTTAACCTCCACAGAAGAGGTTCTAATCTCAATAAGCACAAAAGACAATAACAGATCCCCTTTGCCACAATAGATTAGCTTTCTCAGCCTGGGAAATTTAAGTGACAAAGTCAACATATCAACCTGTGTGTAATAATTAGAAAGGTAACCAGGATAGAAATGAGTGAAATAAATTCTGGCCATCCAAAAATGTAGAGTTCATTCAGATGGTCCTTGAATTTGTCAGGGAACTTAAAATGAGGGTTTTTTTTTAATAAGTTTTAAGCATAGAATTTCAAGACTCATTATGTTGAGTAAAATCAAAGAATGCAAATGTTTTAGAAGGTTCGAGTGCTTTAACTGATGAATGCATTTCTGAAGATATTAAGGAGTTCTAGGGTATAATATAGTTTCAATTATCATCTCTTTTGGTATCCCCATCAGAAAGAATTCAGAATTGAATTTTATAGTAAATACAACTTTTCAGTAAATACAAGACAATATAAAAACTACCACCACTCAAGTCTTTTAAAATCATAACTAGACATACCTAAAGTTTCATTCTGAAGTCATTTGGAGTACGAATGATGTTTCAGAGCAGTCCTGTGCTTTTCCAAGGTGAGACATTTTAGTAAATATTTATCATGATGAATTCTCTCAATGCTTTTTTTGTGTGTCACCCACCACTTTGGCCATTAAGCAAAGTGTTAACTAGAACCATGGAATTGACACAGGCTGCACCTGTGTTCTTCTGGCTTTGGTGCTAATTTTAAACCATCCTCATCCAGCAGGGTGTATCATTGGTTAATGGGCATGGGGGACACTCCCACCATCTTGCACTCAACTCTGAACTAAGTGACCAGTCAGGCAGAGGCAAATCTGCTTCAACACTCCAGTTGGTACGTTACTGATCTGAGGTACTCTACTGATTTGATTACCTTCTTTCCTTTATTCTCTGATCAATACATGAAAATCAGTAGGCTAGATAAACAAAATCCACTCCTGATTTGCCTTTCTTAACCATGCTAAGTAGTTTGGAAAGCTTTGCCAAGCACCCACAAGCTGTTTTAAAGGGGAAAAAAACTTTTCCACAAATTCAAATCCTTGCTATCTATACCACTTTGAAACACATATGGTCAGTCTGACACTACATTTATCTTGATCATTTTGTTTACAAGTTTTCATAAACCACTTGACCTTTAGGTTTTCCATCCTGGGTAATCCTTAGCCATGACTAGATGGGGCCAAATAATTGCTGAGCAAAGAATTAGTGCACCTAGGAGTGGGATGGTCATTTTATATGGCCGAAAAGAATTGATTCTGGCACATAAGCTGTCTTAAAATAAATGGCTTCTGTTACATTGAGTTTTCTGGGACAAATATTCCCTATGAATTTGCAAAACACAACCTTCAGTCAGGTTTAAAACAAAGTTCCCACTCTTTTTTTTTTTTAAGATTTTATTTATTTATTTCTGAGAATACACAGAGAGGAGAGAGAGAAGCAGAGACACAGGCAGAGGGAGAAGCAGGCACCATGCAAGGAGCTTGACATGGGACTCAATCCCGGGTCTCCAGGATCAGGCCCTGGGCTGAAGGCGGCGCTAAACCACTGAGCCACCTGGGCTGCCCCAAAGTTCCCACTCTTATTCTCAAAGTACCAAGTAAAGGGACAGGAAAAAATATGAAAGTAAATAACAGAAAGCTTGCCTCCTCTAACCAAGGCCTTGGGGGAGGTGTTTACAGTTCAAGGATAGATTCCTAACCAAGTAGAGATAAGTAAGCTGAGCCTGAGACATTGCCACAGCTAAGAGAAGTCTGCTAGTAGATTGTGGATCTAGAGCTAAACTCAAATATGAACAAAGCCATCCCTTTAAACAAGTAATTTTGAAAGCCTTATTATGTCTATTGCCTAAATACTAAACATGTGGCTTGGAAGAAGATAATTTCAGGCTGAGATTAGTTTTAAAATCACTTTCAGGCTGACTTTATTCCTTCTATTTCAGTGAAGAGGTTTCAGAATCCCAAGATCCGTATAAGCAAATATCTGATGCTTAGTGAGTTGAATTTTTTTATAAGATTTTATTTACTTATTTATGAGAGATGCAGAGAGAGACAGAGACATAGGCAGAGGGAGAAGCAGGCTCCCCGCAGAGAGCCCAATGTATGACTCGATCTCTAGACCTGAGGATCATGCCCTGAGCTGAAGGCAGCCGCTCAACCATTAAGCCACCCAGGCATCCTGAATTTTGAACTCTTTGAATATGCTAGCTCACTAAGAATATATTCATTATTCCTTTTGTTATTTTAGCCCTAAGATCAACCTTAAGTGAATAGAAGTAATATGAACTTTTAGGATTGTTTGGTTCAATTTCTTGGTATTTCAGGATGGAGGGGAACCCCTAATTCTCACCAATCAAGGAGTCTTGGATGCTTGCCTCTAAATTCCTTTACATAGTATAAAGGTTTTGGGGGGAAAAATCCTAGAATAAACATTTGAAATCCTGTCTTTTAAGAGAACTATAGAAATTTTTTATTTTAATCAGGCTTTCGATGTAATGTAAAAAAGGTTTTCTTGTTCACCCTGTATCTTTCGGGCCCTACCTTACTTCTCAGCCAGTTATCCCAAAATAGCCCATTATTGCATCTTTTGAGTAGCTCCTACTGTTGTAATATGTGGATACGAGTTTACTTTCTCTGTTTCACATTTTTTAAAAAGATGCTTATGCCTCTCATTAAATTTGTCTCAAAATTCTCACAACTTTGGGCAATGGAATCATGAATAAGCTATTTTTTTTGGAAATTTATTTATTTAAGTTATTGCTACACTCTACGTGGGGCTTGAGTTCATGACCCCAAATCAAGAGTTGCACACTTTTCCAACTGAGCCCGCCAGGCGCCCTTATGAACATGCTTTTAAATGGACGTGTTCTGGGATGTCTGGGTGGCTCAGTTGGTTGAGCGTCTGCCTTAGGATTGGGTGTGATCCTAAGATCCTGAGATTGAGCCCCACCTAGGGCTCCCTGCTCAGTGGGGAGCCTGCTTCTCCCTGCTTGTGCTCTCCTATCTCTCTCTCTCTCTCTCTCTCTCTCTCAAATAAAGAAGATCTTTAAAAATAAATAAATAAAAATGAAAAAATAAAAGGACATGTTCAATTGGCAGATACAGGTTTCCCTCACCATCCGAAAACAGAGCCTTCCTATGAGTTCTTTGTAAGCCAAAATGGTAAAAAAGTGAAGAAGCAATTACCATTAATTTACATGGAAAAACAGGTGAGCATCCCCAGACACAAAAAAACTTACCTGTCTTAGGACTTTTTAATATCTTAGGACCCATTTTGCTAACTAACAGGTGCACATGATAAATCAAGATAAAGCACCAATGCTCACAGATAATAGGTCAAAGTTCCAGTGGCTTGATGCCGAGATGCTGAGTGGAGTTCCTGGGGAACGAGCTTCAAGCACCACTCACTGCTGGGGTGCTGCTGCTTTAGCCTTCTACCAAAAGGAGGCTGAATGCTGTTTGTGTTTTTTGGCTTTTTTTTCATAAAAGCAAAAATCCTCTTTGGGCTTCTTTCAGTTAGTGAAAACAGGCCCTAGTGTAGGTTTTTCATAAAATCAAAGGCGTGTAGTATGAACTTAAGAAAAGCGGAGGCTACTTATGAAAAGCCTTCTTTTTCACATAATAGAATGAGAATCTGAGGCACAGGGATGGAAATGACTTTCCTGAAATTGGAACATGAGTCAGTCTCTGAAATAAAATCACATCATCTGAACTCCCAGAAGTCAATTTCTAATTCTTAATTCTCTGTCTTAGGAATGTATTAAAGAAGTTTAAAATGTATGATATTTCTCTTTTGTAAGCCTGTTGATTTACTTCCTTAATCGGCAAGATTCTTTCACTCATGGGCAAAGCCCCCAACACAGAATATTATGCTATCATGAATACTGTGAGGCATTGCATGGGTTTGTTCTCTCTCTGCAATATGTGATGTGCTTTAAGATCCGAAAATGAATCCTAGACCTGCAGTCCACCATACAGAAGTGTTAAATTAGGTCAAGAATCAAGAATAGGGTTTTTTTTTCAGCTTTTGGGTTTTATAAAGGCTTCCATAATTTAAGAGCTTGAGTTACAGCCTGTCTCAGGAGCCTCCAGCTCTGTGTGGAAGGTTCTGATCTACATAAGAGTGCTATTTTCATCTAAGGGTACACAGTGCCAAAGGTTTCCTTCTGGCCCATCAGCTTTCCCTTCTATGCTTGCCTCTGAAATTTCGAAGTTCTAGTACACCTTAGAGTATTAAAATGTTTAAAAGTCCACCTTACTCTCCAGATGTTTCACTTTTACAAAATGATGAACATTGCTGATCTCTCATCAGTTATTTTTAATTTAAAATAGAAAAGCCCAGAAGATTCACAGGCAGCTGAAATTCCTGGAGGCAGTATGACAGCCTCCAACAGAAAATGTGAGTACCACTTTTCAAGAGCTAAACGTTAAATATAGAAAGTACCACAGAAAAAGGTTATGTCTGCTTGAAAACAGTGTGTGGAAATCATACAGATTTCTCACTGGGTTTGTGTTTCATCATTGCAGCCTTTACGAGAAAATGTTTAATACTCATTTCTAGGAGTTTTTCACACACACTGTGCATTAACATCAATCTTATTCCATTCTTTAAAAATGATTTTTCCCTAAACTGTTTAAAACTGATCCTCTGAGGACTGCAATTAGTGTAAATCTGTATGTAGTTATCAAGCCTCCTTTAAGATCATGAGCGTAGCATACAGGATAGACTTGTGGAATCACTACATTGTGCCCCTGAAACTAATGTAACATGTGTCAACTAAACATCAATAAAAAAAATTCATGCTTATGTGATGATTGAGCCTTTTACTTCTTTCTCTAAGAAGTCTGGAGATTTCTGCACAGTCTACTGAAATTTAGTGCCAACATCTGTTAATGTGTGATCTTGTCACTGGAATGGTGGAGTTCAAGTGCAAGATAACTCATCAATCGTATCTTATTCTATAATTCACCTGTTCATATAAATTCTAACCAAACTTTTTCTATGATTTTTCCCTATTTCTGAATTTAATATATCCATTTGGTATACAATTTTGCTTTCAGGACATGGCTAGTAATATTTCTCCTTCTAAATGTTTAGTTCCAGGAGAGATTCTAGAATGCCTGGCACCTAGTAGGTCTGCAATGGACATTTCTTCACTATTGATTTTGAAAGCAAAGAAGAGGAAAGAAGGATACGCCCAGGCACGTTATGAGTGTGGTGGCAGATGCTAGGTCACGGAGTAACGATGGTCCTACTCAAGTATTTTGGAGGCCTCGTATCTTTCCACTTCAGATATCAAGCTTGGCATACAGAATGCACAGTGAACAAATCCAAATTTGATTACTCAACTGCCCTTTTCCAGGGACATATTGAATTAGGTTCAAATATTTGATTACTTGTTTCACATTACCTCATTGGTGGAACTCAGCTTGTGTTTCAAAAGACAGGATGTGAAAATCCTACCCACAGTCTGATTTAAATAAACAAAAAGCAACATGATACAAGGTCCAGCCCATGCTTCACCATGGAAAACCTCTGATAAGTTAGAAATGTGGAAATGAATCTGACTGCCAGGTACATAAGCAAAGATAAAATATTATTGATAATTCTGTAATAAGTACACTAGATTACCAATGAATGCTGGTCTTATCTTCCACTGAATAATATTTAAATTATCTTAAACAATATGTACAGTGTGTTCCTTGAAGTTTACATGCAAACATGTATATTTGCCTTGTGGCTTGTTACATGTCCATGATATGACATTTAGAAACCCATAATTGGAGTTAATAAAATAATGGATAACAAAAATAGGGGCGCCTGGGTGGCTCAGTTGGTTAAGCATCTGCCTTTGGCTCAGCTTATGATCTCAGGGTCCTGGGATGGAGCCCCAAGTTGGGCTCCCTGCTCAACAGAGAGTCTACTTCTCCCTCTCTCTCTGCCTCTCCCTTCCACTCGTGAACTCGCTCTCTCAGATAAATAAATAAAATCTTTAAAAAACAAAAAGGACAACAAAAATAGGTCACACTGTTAGCAGAGTATAAGTTGAGTAAAAATTTTCCACTTGAATATATGCTACAAATATCAAAAACTACGTAAAAGTACATGGAAATCACAATTTATTTGCATGCTGCAATGTTGCCAAATGTATTACTCTAACTTGTTTTATTTTCGCGAAGAAGAGCTTTATTTCTGAAAGTTGGCAGCAAAGTGACCTGATAGGATGATGATATTCTAAGAGCTTCCAGGCCATGTCAATAAGAAATCCCTGAATTCGATAATTTGATATTTATTCTGTGTTTCTATGATCATTGCTTGAAATTTTCTCATTTTAAATAAAGAGTAAAATGAAGTAGTAAACCACAAGAAGGATATAAGTTAGTTTTATAGTAATAGGTCTAAATAAGCCATGAATTTTAGAAGTGAAATGCTTGCATATATCAATAACTCTGTCTCCTGGCTGATAGTCTGGGCTATATCTGCCGTTTACTTCATTGAAGTTATTTGATGGTATGGGATATGAAATGAGTCGAACCGTATTCCCCAAATGAAACAGAAAGCCATATTATAAAACAGTGCCCCTATAGTCTTAGACCATGTAACAGAAACCAGGAGGTAACCTCTTTCTATTTTTTTTAGAAGATTTTATTTATTTATTCATGAGAGACACAGAGAGAGAGAGAGAGAAACAGAGACACAGCCAGAGGGAGAAGCAGGCTCCATGCAGGGAGCCTGACGTGGGACTCGATCCTGGGTCTCCAGGATCATACCTTGGGCTGAAGACGGCACTAAACCGCTGAGCCACCTGGGCTGCCCACCTCCTTCTATTTTTACTGAGTATATAATTATTAGAATATTGGGTTTAGTTCTAACAGCAACAACAGCTAGTATTGACATCAGGCACACAGTGGATAGAAACTGAGTAATTAATGAAGTCTTAGACTATGGAAATTGATTTGAAAGACTATTCTTATCAAATGGATACCTAAGTGGCTTATTGTCAGGATAAGTGTTACCCACGGAGTACTTTTTGAATGTATTAATTGTTCAATTGCACAAGGGGGTTATACTAATCTAAAATGTCAGGGTTTTTGAAAACAGAAATTCTGTCCATGAAAAACTTGAACCCAATTATGATCAAAACTATGATATTAGTTATTTCAGTGACTCTCTACTAATCAGATAATGTATATTAGGTAAAGGAATCCCGTGGAAACAGCTTCTCTTTATTTTATTCAACGTCCAGCTGGTCTAGTACTGAAAGTTATTTTTCAGAAAGACAAACTAATTGTTCCAAGGCTAATTTGGGGGCCAGCAGAGCTGATAGTGGTTCTGTGGAGGTCACAGCAGGAGAGTGATCAAGATACTTTGGGAGGGCCATGAGTGCCAACCAGAAAGGGGAACTCAATGAGCAGAAGATGGCAGGAATGCACTCCAGCAGACTCATGCCAGGGACAGTCTGACCCAGAGACAGTTTTGGAAAATAGCCTCCATTTTAATGACATTCTACAGGGAGGGTCCTAAATTATTTTAAAGTGCTTTACAAAAGATGCACATGGAAAGGTCATTGATGGTATTTTGGAAGGCTATAACGATGCTTCAATTTTTTTTCTTTTGGGATAGTTGAACAAAGTGACAGAACAGTGAACACTGGTGCATAATTTATCTCATTACTAGTCAGATCTGTTGAAAAAACAATGACCGTACAGCCTGAAGTGTCAATTACCATTTTTGTGTCTCCAGTCTTGACTTATTTTAAAAGCCGAAACAAAGTGGGGTTGCTTAATTTGGTGCAATTTAAGAATGTCTAGGGTGGGTGGGAAAGTTGGTTGTGTGTGAAGGGTTCCGGGAAATGTCTAGAGCCCTGTTAATGCTTCTCACACCTTTATTTGGTTCTTTAGGCAACACCATTAGCTTGCTAGCAATAATGATACTGGTTGGGGACAGCCTGCATAATTTTGCAGATGGCCTCGTGATAGGAGCGGCCTTCTCATCTTCATCTGAGTCAGGAGCAACCACCACGCTTGCTATCTTGTGTCATGAAATTCCACATGAAATGGGTAAGTCGCATAGGATCATGGCTGTCCCTGCTTGTTGAGAAGCCGTGTTTTTCTAGCTATGGTCTGTGGACATCTTTTTCCAACACACAATTGAAGATGAATACTTTCCATTCATAATTTATTTAAATGATTAGAAGACAACTAGAAAAGTAAACTTCTGTACCGTGGGATAAAATTCATTTAGACTCTTTATGATGTTTACCTAGGGTCAGAAGTCACTTGTTTTGGATTCTGGAGAGTTCTATATGGAAGAAAGTCATTAAGAGAAACCTCGTTTTAAAGAACTTTGGCAAGGACTTTAAGACCTGCATATTAAATGTGGGGAAAACATTAAGAGGGGAACTTTACCCATTATGTCAGCAAACAGGCCAATGAGATAAAATAACATTTAAATTAAAGCCAAACCATGGTTTCATCAACTTGATTTATATAAAATGTCTAAGGCCAAGCATAAAATTGAAATGACGGGTGTATGGTAGCAGATGCACAGAAGGCTCTTTTTCTGGATAATCTTAATAGCCCTGTAATTCAAATTCTGCCTCCTGGGAAACAGGAAGAGACAGACTAGGCATTTCTGAAACAGGCCCAGGAACAGCAGAGGCTGGCTCCAGGCACACACATGACCTAGAGAGGGGGCTCTTGTCAATCTTATTACCCCCACTTCCAGGTCTACATTGACCTTTTGGGCCACCCCAACCTCTGGTGTTCAGTGTCTACTGCCCGAAATCCTGTCACCAACTCACCATCCACCCTTCCTAGAGCAATTTACCCAAGAACCTTCCTGAAACCATTAAAATGTAGCTGGTCCAGGTGCTGTATACAGTGGCCTTGCTTTTTAGACATCATAATAAAACCACAGAGGAGTGTGACAGTCTATAGCAGGCCAGCAGAGACATTTTTAAGACCTGTTCATAAGACCAACTTGCAATAGAACTAAGGAACTGAGTAACAAGACTGTCTCTTTACTGAATTTCAGGTCTCCTCTATCTCCCAAACCAAGAAATAGAGGCTCTCAGATCAAAAGATCATTCTTCTTTAGGAGGAAAGGTATATAGAGAATAAGATCATTTTTCTATAATCATCAAGGCAGTAAAACATTTTCTAAAGGAAAAAATTTGTTTTCCTAACCAACTTTTCCAATGATTTTAAAATCTCATATTAAGTAGTTGTCTGTTTCCCCACAGGAGTTCTTGCAGACATAGATAACAAAAGCCAACATAACGTGATTTCGCCTGGCAAGTTTTCAGGCAAAAAGGTTTTAAAACCCTGAAACAGCAAGTCCTTTATTCTGCATTTATCTAAGTTGAAAATGTCACAGAGTGCCAGGAAATAAAGAATATGTCATGGTTCTCCCGGCGTATATTATGTTATCTTAAGGAAAAGTAAAAGGAAGACAGCTCTTGAAATGTAACTTCCTAATAGTATAATAAGAATCCTAGAGAAATATCAGAAAATGTTTTATCAACTGGTCAGTAAACTTTGCTTATAAAATGGGCCCCAGTTGCTGAAATTTGAAACAACCTAATAGCAGATTAATCCAGCAAAGTCATCAATTATATAATGATTATATTTTCTTTTTCCCTTAAATTTTAGGAGACTTTGCTGTACTCTTAAGCTCTGGACTTCCTATTAAGATTGCCATCCTTATGAATTTTCTAAGTGCTCTAACTGCCTTCATAGGACTATACGTTGGCCTCTCTGTATCCACTGATCCATGTGTTCAAAACTGGATCTTAACAGTTACTGCGGGGATGTTCTTATATTTATCCTTGGTGGAAATGGTAAGCTTTGTGGCTTTTCTATGTTGTTTTTCTAAACTCTGAAAATGTAAAACAGAGACAAAGCCATAAAATAGAAGGATAGATGAGAAGAGAAGAATATATTTAATAATATAAAAGACTAAGGAAATATTCTGTGTAATCCAAGAAAGTAAGCTGTAGGCAGAAGAAACATAATTTGAGATACAGAAAATATTGACATCCTTTTAGTGAAATTAAGTGAAATGAATGAACCCTGTAGAACTGCCAAAGAGTGATCATCAGTTCATTCTGCTCCAGCTTTGCATCTCTACATAATGCTTATCCTTCTAACTGAGGAAAGCTCTATAAAACAGCTACCTATATTATTTATGCTTTGGAAAATAGTTCAACTGAAGTTGTCATTAAATTATTTAGCTGTTTGACTTAATTAACCAACTGTATTTTTAAAAATAATGATTTCAACTTTAAGTTTTACTTACCAAAGGGCTATCATGCTGGTGAAAAGAGAAAGATTATACAATCGAGTCTCTAACATTACAACATGTGTTTCTGAGAGCGGTCCTTGCGGGCACTAATGGTAACTCTGTTATCACTTTTCATTCTCTCTAATCTCTTGAAGCTGGAAATTTTTACTTTTTTTTTTTTTTTGGCCTCTTAAATTCTGGAATCTGCAAAATAAACCAATCTTTTTAAAGGTCCCCTTCTATTAGACTTGGTACAACTTAGATGTGTTCATTTAAGTCCTAATATCCTTTCTTCTGTGTTGGAATCATGTACATGATACAGATGAATGAAAGAAATATTTAAGAGTGAAAAATCAGTAGAAAGCCAATCCAAATGGAAGGAAGATGTGTGGTTACATGAATCGTAGAGCAGAAAAGTAAAATACGCAATCTTGAAGGTAATATGTGGAACAGGACCCTTGGGATTGACTTGTGATAGGGCAAAATCTTGCTATTGTCCTGGAAGTAAGTAAAGAGAAATGTTTCATGAAGAAAAAAATCTGAAAGGCAGGAACCTGTCCTAAAACAACTAGATAACCGTGAATTCTGGAAGTAGAATTCAGTAAGAAGGCTCTTCAAGTAAACACAACCATTTTAAACCTCAGTTTAAATACTTATTTTTGGTTGTTTTTCTTAATTCTCCTGAGATTCAGATAGAGGAGGCAAATGCCAAAAGGTACTTCTGTGCTTAGAAATGTTCTTAGATATTATTTACGATACTCGGGGAGTTTCCTAATCTTGATTGTGAAGACAGTGCTAGTGGCGCAAGTTCAACCCACCTCTTCTGAGCCCCAATCCTCAAGCCAAGGTCAGTATGACAATCCTGTGAGCCTTCCACTTTGAGAAATCTGGATTGCTAGCCTTGCATGGTGGCTTCAAAAGAACTCTGTCGCTCATCACTGAATATTGCAAGCTACCTTTTGTTTAAAACGTCTGTGTATCAGTCCTCAAATTCACTCATGAGTCTCCTGATTTTGTTTTCTGCTGCTAACTTCCTCTTTATGACTCAACTGGGGGCAGCTGCTGTATTCTTTTGAAGTTTATTCTGTTTTCGTTTGTTTGTTTGTTGTTGTTTTTTTAAAGTCTGGATCTCTCTTCAACTATGATGGATGTATATTTATCTAGTTAATGCTTTTTCTTTGTTAGAGAGTCTGATCTCCCGAAACAGACCTGAGGACATTATCAGGAACCATTTTTCACGTAGAACCCTCAGCTAAATACATGATTTTCCCCCTCACTCTTTTCTCCCCTTGGTCTTGTAAGCATAAGCAATCGCTTGTAAGAAATGTGGAAGATATCCTCTGAGATTCCAACTAGAATGAATCTTGACCTTGTTGCAAATTACTATTGGCCAAGGAAAAACTGGCAGCCTGGCAAGAAGACAGGAAAGAAAATACTCTGGAGTTTCCTGGGGCTACTTCCTATAATCCAGGTCGCCTGCTCTCACGGCCTTTTGAGTAACTTCTAAACAAATAGGACTCTCACAGAGCAGCAACTTTAACCGTTGCTGTGCTCTGGGGCTGTGCCAGAGAAAATAGTTTTTTGTCATTTAAAAGGAAGAAAACAAGGTTTCAAGACTGTAAAACAGCAAAGAAAATAAATGACAGTAACTAAAGGGTAAGGGGGGGGGGATACTCTCATACACTGGTTATTTCCTAAATGCTGGAAATTTACCAAGCACCTTCTAAGCAGGGCTAATGTGAAAAGACTAGCTACATTTTTGTCTTGCTTGTTTGTTTCAAAGAAATTGGGCGTGTTATTTCAAACTCCCAGAAGAAAAAGAACTAGGAGCAAAAAGGGGGCCATTAGCCGCGAAGTCAGCAAAGCAGAAAGTCTTCACCAGGGAAATCTGGCAGCCTAAATTCTCCGAAGGGGTATGGCCTTATCCAAGCACACTGACTCTCAGAGGCATTGAATGGTTTCTAAGGGAAGTTAGGAATGAATGCAGGCCTGGGTGGCCAGAGGCAATTCATTCTGTCGTAAAGATCAGTGTGCTAGCCTGGGTTTGCCCCAAGCAGAGGCTAAAACCTTTATTTTTACTTTTTTATTTTTTTTATTGGAGTTCAATTTGCCAACATATAGCATATCACGCAGTGCTCATCCCACCAAGTGCCCCCCCTCAGTGCCCATCACCCAGTCACCCCATCCCCCCGCCCAACTTCCCTTCCACCACCCCTTGTTCATTTCCCAGAGTTAGGAGTCTCTCATGTTCTGTCTCCCTCTCCGATATTTTCACTCATTTTCTCTCCTTTCCCCCTTTATTCCCTTTCACTATTTTTTATATTCCCCAAATGAGTGAGACCATATAGTGTTTGTCCTTCTCCGAATGACTTACTTCACTCAGCATCATACCCTCCAGTTCCATCCACGTTGAAGCAAATGGTGGGTATTTGTCATTCCTAATGTCTGAGTAATATTCCATTGTATACATAAACCACATCTTCTTTATCCGTTCATCTTTCGATGGACACCAAGGCTCCTTCCACAGTTTGGCTATTGTGGACATTGCTGCTATACACATTGGGTGCAGGTGTCCTGGTGTTTCACTGCATCTGTATCTTTGAGGTAAATCCCCAGAACAATTGCTGGGTTGTAGGGTAGCTCTATTTTTAACTCTTTAAGGAACCTCCACACAGTTTTCCAGAGTGGCTACACCAGGTCACATTTCCACCAACAGTGCAAGACCTTTAAAGGCAGATGTGAAGGTGGTTCACCCGGGAGGTGATCCCAGGGGCAGGAATAAAGGGCAGGTAGAGTGGAGTAGAAAATGATGATAAGTCAATAAAATGATGCATTTTTGTAAAGTCGATCTCCACTCTGGGGGATCTGCCAACAGGACCTTCTGAGGCGGCTCCAACTCCATCGTTCAAAGCCCAGGGCAAGAGAATGAGGAATGCAGGGTGGGCTGAAGCAAAGTTCTGTGTAAAACTAATCAACAGCCCCTCGGAAATGGTCTCTGGACCAGTGGCTGAGCATCAGAGATGAGAGGATATGAGGAGCCCCCTCAGGAGCAGTAGCCAGCCAAAAACTCAGGAAAGACTTAATGCCTGATAGCTGGTGAATCAGGCTCCAAACCCTATCGGTCTGGAGGCAGTATTTGATATTCAACCATCTTTGTCCTCTAGCACTCAACTTTGATTCCCCTCATCACCTGAGGAGGTAATCTTGGCTGACCCAGAGTTCTCTCCTAGAAGGGCAGCCCAGGTCTTCCCTGATGGTTCTGCTTTGCCCTGGTTGGGCCATGCTTCCTGCCAGCCCCCTAACTTATGGTAGCCAGTGGCAATTATTCCCACCAGTTTGATAACATCTATCTCTGCTGGTTGATCTATTGGCAGGAGGGGCTCAACCCTACTCATGGGTTCAGGTTCAGTGGAAATGCTCCCTGGTGTGTTTTCAGAAACAAAGATCTGTGATCTGACAGTGCTAAACTTTACAGGAATAGGAAGCACAAATTTTATCAGTGGAAGAGCTAGCAATGATGGTGGACCATTGCTTCATGATTTCTCTTTCTGCTATTTCTCCGACTCCCTTCCTTCTATTCACTTTGCATTAATTTTCTGCTTATTTTCTGCTTTTGTGAAACAGAATAACATATCATTGATTTTAAATCTTTTCTTCCTTTATTTTTCTTAAGATTGTATTTATTTATTCATGAGACACACACAGAGAGAAGGAGAGACACAGGTGGAGGGAGTGGCAGGCTCCATGCAGGGAGCCCAATGTGGGACTCGATCCTGGGACTGTGGGATCACGCCCAGAACCAAAGGCAGATGCTCAACTGCTCAGCCACTCAGGTGCCCCAAATCTTTTCTTCTTTTAAATTTAAAGCTGTAAATTTAAAGCTTTTAAAGCTATGAATTTCCCATAAGCACTGTTTTGCCGGATCCCATGTATTTTAATATTCTGTGCTTCTAATACCAATAACTTTGAAACGTCTTTAAATGTCTCATGTAATTTTTTTCTTATAAAAGTATGGCACCTAATTGCTCAATATTTATAACTTTTAAAAGTAGCTTTTAGTTATTTAATTTAATTCCTTCACTGTTAGAGAAATACTCTATATTATTTTAGTCCTTTGAGATATTTTAAAGTATGTGAATTTTATGGCCCATTGTATGGTCTATCCTGGTAAATGCTCTCATCTACATTTGGAAAGTCCATGAGTTCAGCAGTTGTTGGACATAGAGTTCTGTGAATGTCATTTAAGTCAGACTGGTTGATGGTTTTATTCATATTTTCAAATTCCATACTGATTTTCTTTCTTCACTTGTTCTGTCAATTATGAGGGAGTGATGTTAAAGGACAGACCTATATTTGTGGGCTTGCCTATTTCTTTCTTGGTTTTATCAATTTTGTTTCATGCTCGTGAAGCTCTGTTATTGCATGAATGCACATTTAGGGTTATCATGTCTTCTTGATTGAATTGACACTTTTATCATGTGGAAAGATCCCTCTTTACCTCTAAGAAAACTCTTTATCTTGAAGTTTCCATTGTCTGATGTTAATGTAGTCACATCT